CCGCCCCGGCCCGGGCTCTACCCGCTGCTAGGGACGGGCCGCGGGCCTCGCCGCGCCCACCGCAGCCTGGGGCGGGTCCCTGTCTCCCCGCCCCGGACCCGCCCCTCCGGCCAGCGCAGCCCGGGGTCATTCTCCTCCTCAGCCCAGCAGCCGTGTAATCTCGCGCCTCCGGGACACAGCAGTCCCCTGGCTCCGGCCGCTGGGGGAGCATGGAGTTCGCAGAGCTGATTAAGACCCCGCGGGTGGACAATGTCGTGCTGCACCGGCCTTTCTATCCGGCCGTCGAGGGGACCCTGTGTCTGACAGGCCACCACCTGATCCTGTCCTCCCGGCAGGACAACACGGAGGAGCTGTGGCTCCTTCATTCAAACATCGACGCCATCGACAAGCGGTGAGTGTCCATCCCAACCCCTATTGCGCTGGGGACGGGGGTCCTTGGGTGGCCGCCTGAGGGACACGCTTCCCGGTGTTTCCCTTACGTCTCGTCGCCTAGCTAGCCAGCAGGATGAGCCCTCTCTGGCCTAGATTTAGGATTTGAGTTGTGGAGAGCAGAAAGCCATCCGGATGGGGTACCTGGTTTCTATTAGATCTGGATGGACTTCTCGGGGTTATCATACGGTTGTCATCATCCTCATCATCGTTTTTGGTACATTAACAACATGTGGGTGGAATTTTGGCATATTCTTTCAAATTTCATCTCCTTGCCCCATCACATTTCTTCAATCGGTTTTTGTCAATCACAGTTCACAAAATGATGATTGGATATGGTTTAGGTAAGAGTCTTACCTATTTTGAGAAAACTCAAAAGAACTCTGTAGTAATGAGTGGCGTTGTTCCATGAAACCTTCCCCAACATGTCGTTTATTATATTTCTTCTTCTGGGTCATCGATGTAATACTTTCCACTGAGGGAGTTAGCATGTCTTCTAGTCATTTTTACTCAGTTCTGCTTTTGGAAAGAACAGGATTAGCTTTTAAGGAAATGTATAAACTAATGAACCTTTTTTCCCCCCTCCACTCTAGACTCTCTTTCCAAGACTTGCTTTTAATAATTATTTACTTGTTTATTTATTTTTATTTTTAAATTTGACCAGACAGGGACAGAGAGAAAGAGAAAGCAAGTTGCCAGGTCAGGTACTCGAACCGTGGTCAGCCATGTGGGAGTTCAGTGCTCTTAACCACCACACCACCTACTAACCCCCCAAGGCTTTCTTAAAGTCAAACTTCACATCTATCTGTAGTAAAAATGACCAGCTCCCCAATGGCCCTATGTATTCTACCTAGTAGAAGGTGAAGTTATTATCCACTTACACTAAAGTATTAAAGAGTGACAACAACTTTTTCTATTGCCTCAGGAAAATTTGGATATTAAGAAAATTGCTAGGGAGACCAGCAGATGGTGTAATGGTTACATTGCTGGACTCCCATGTAGTCAACCGTGGTTCAAGTCCGGAACCCGGTGGCTTAAAACTCATGCCAGGTGCATGTACATGCGGGCCCAAAATCCTGTGAGGAGAATGGAGGAGAAGAGATTGTGGCATGGCCATCCCCCCTGGGGGTGGTTGTGATTTCTCACTTTCTGTCTCTCTGTCTCTCTCTTTCTGGCCAGCGCACGCGCCCTATAGCAAAAAACCTCTAAGAAAAAAAAGGAAAGCAGTAGGCCCTTACTAGGCTCCGTAGCCCATGAACCATTTTCTGTGTAAAAATGTTCAGTGGTCTGTAATTGCTTGTATAATAAAGTCTAAATCTCTTAGCCTGTCATTTATGAGATTCCACGTCCTGGATCTAACCTAACATTCCTCACCTGATAGCTTGCCATTTCTTTTCACGAACCCTTCTTGTATATCCTTTTATGAACCCTTTTTTTACAAGCCAATCCTCACTATTTATTGGGGCTCATATATATCCTACATGCTCTTATCTCAGTATTTTACTGACTTATTCCTTCTACTGGAATTCTTTGTTCCTCCCAAGGTTGTTAAATACTAATCAATTGCCTTTATGTTTCAGACGTTTGGTGAGGCATTAAGGACACCAAGTTGAGTAAAGATAGTTCTTGTCTTTCAAGAGTTCATAGGCTTTTACCTAACTGTTACCCATCTATTGAATACAGCTTAACCAGTTCAGTTGTCACCTCCTTCACAGGTTCTTTTGTTAATCGCACAACTCAAAATCATTCTCCTTAACTTGAAATTCTACAGCCCTTTATTATATCTTTTTTAAGTGTGTATTTAATTTTGCATTGTTTAATTAAGATTATTTTCTTCATTCATAATAGATTGAGTTCAAGAGACAGAGAGAAAGAGAAGCACCCTTCATAGAATCTGGTCTTGCTGCAGTCCTATTCCTCTAGCTGTCAGATTCTGGGCACTCTCTGTTGTGTGCTTTTCAGGCCAAGCTGGATGGGAATTTGGGTGGCTGTTACCATGTGGGATCCAACTTACCTTGAACAACACTTTACTACTGCAGTTTATTTATTTACTTCTTCCATGAGAGAGAGAGACAGAGAGAGAAAACCAGAGACAACACCTCCAACAGGATTGCAATGCCTCCCACTCCCTTTCTCCGCCAGTCCCTGATCATGGGTACGCTCATGCCTGGAGTATTCAGGAAGCTCTTTGAATGCAAACCTGAAACCTATGTGGATCAGCTGTGTGGAGTGTTGCATTTTCTGCTCTAATACTGTCCAGGTTCAACTTTGCTTTTTGATAGTGACCGATGTATTAGGGAGGCCAAGAATCACATCTGGTTCATTTTTATCTCCTTCAAAATACCTGTGGGGCAAGCCCAATGCTGAATCCCACATGGCTGACTACAGTTCAGATTCAGCTCTGGCATCTTGAGAAATGCACTGAGTGCATGTACATGACCCACATCCTGATAGGATGGAGAAATTCAGGGATTGAGGTGGTACTGTGACCACGCTCCATTGGGGAGTGCTTTTTCCCTTTCCCTCTCTGGCTCTCTGTCTCTGGTAAGCACACAATCCTTTTGGCAATTAAAACAAACAGACATAAAACCTCCTAACTGTGCTTTGGGTGTATAGAAAATGAAAGAAAGATTGATGACTGAGTGATTCTGAGTGCTGGCAGAAAATTGGATTGTACAATAGAAGGGCAAGAGTGGGGGCCAGGAGGCGGCATGTTGGTTAAAGGCACTGGACTTCCACATAGCCAACTGTGGTTCAAGTCCTGGACCTGGTGGCTTGCTTTCTCACTTTCCCTCTCTCTCTGTGTGTCTGATCAAACTGGATAATACTAATAGTAAATAAAGTTAAATAAAATAATTCTTAAAAAAAAAAAAAAGGGCAAGAGTGGAAGCATCAGACCCATGAGGAGTTGAGTAGTACATATAGAAGATGACAGTGACTTAGAGCGGAAGCAGTAGTGTGGTCACAGTAGATTTGGGATGTATTTTGAAGGTTGAGCTGCCATGCCTTGCTGATGAGTAGTAAATGGGTGACAGAAAGTCATTAAGGATGATGCCATTCTTTAGTTCTAACTCTTATTAGGTAGATATTCTTGAACAAGCTACTTAACCTCTTGCTGAACTTCAGTTCTGTCACTAAGAGGAAGATAACACCTCCCCCCAGTAGCGACTTTATATTTGAATTATGTTTCACAAGTATGTAGAACACTTCCATGTGGGACCAGCAGTTGGCATAATGGCTATGTCACTGGACTCCCATATAGTTGACCATGGTTCAAGTCTCGGACCCAGTGGCTCAGACTCATGCCGGGTGCATATGTGTGCTTGCCCAAGATCCTGAGAGGAGAATAGAAGAGAAGGGATTGCGGCGTGGCCATCCCTCCTTGGGGGGGGGGGGTTGGGGGATTTCTCCCTTTCTGTCTCTCTGTCTCTCTGGTGAGCGCACGTGCCCTATAGCAAAAACCTCTCCCCAAAATTAATTAATTAATTAATTAAAAACACTTCTATGCATCATTTTATTTGATCTTTTCAGCACATAAGGTTGTACATCAATTTTACAGTTTTATGCCTTTTTCTTTATGGACCGCAGATGAAGAAAGTGGAGTTAATACTACTTAAGTGATGACTCATCATGCCATAATTGATTGATTAAAAGGTTTCTTCTGCTTTTTATTTTATTCTTCTTTGTTCTTAACTTTCATTTTTCCATTTCCTACCTCATCCATAGTCCCTGTAGGCAACTATATAGCACTATTGTGTGTGTGCACACATGCATGTGTGTGTTTAGTTTATCTGGAAGAGACTATGCTGTAGATCTTGTTCTATTTTTTAACAGTTTAACTCAGTACTCTTTTTCACAATCACTTTATATTGCTATGTATACGTCCATTTCACTGTTTCTAACTGCAGCAGAATTCCAAAGTGTCTAAGATGTTTTGGTTATCAAACCTTTCAGATAAACTCCACTCCCTGCTTTCAAAAACAACTCTAATAAACACTAATTTTTGTTCCATTATAGTGCTGTGTAAGAGTTTCTCTGAGATTATGCCTAAGATGGGATAGATTGCTTCCCAAAATGACTATTCCATTTTGCCCTCTCACTGTGGTGCATGAAAGAGTCCCTGTATGGGAACCAGCAGTTAGCGTAATGGCTATGTCGCTGGACTCTCACGTAGTCGACCACGGTTCACGTTCCGGACCTGGTGGCTTAAAACTCACGCCGGTCGCGAGTGCGTGCATGCCCAAGATCCCGAGAGGATAATGGAGGAGAAGGGATTGCGGCGTGACCATCCTCCCTGGGGGGTGATTTCTCGCTTTCTGTCTCTCTGTGTCTCTCTGTCTGTCTGGCGAGCGCACGTGCCCTATAGCAAAAACCTCAAAAAAAAAAAAAAAAAGAAAGAAAGAAAGAAAGAAAGAGTCCCTGTACACCCACATTCTTGCCATCATTTGGTATTCTCATCTTTCTGATTTAATTTTTGCCAGTCTGAAGATTATGAAATAGTATCTCTTTGTTTTAATACATGCCTTATTAATTAAGTGTAAGTATCTTTTCATATACTTGTTAACAACGCAGTTTTTAATTTTTATTTTCCTTTCTGTGAATTGCCTGCTGACTTCTGTGACTCACTTTTTAACACGGGGGTTGTTGTTTTTCTGGACAGCATTAGTTGATTTGGATTAGTTCCTGGTATACTCTGTGTGTACTAAGTCTTCACGTAGGCATTGCAAATGTCTTCTAGTCTGTCACCCATCTAGTAATTTTTCTTCAGTATCCTTGCCTAAAGAAAAGTCCTTAATTCTAATGCAGACTTTGTCAATTTTTTACTTTATGGTTTGTGGCTTAAATCTTACTTAAGAACTCTTTCTCTGTCCCAAAGAAACTGGTATTTTTTTGACAGGTGATTCTCTTGCCCTAGTCTTCCAATTAGCGAAAATTATAGGCACATTCCATACAAAGTGTGTTTAGGTTGGCATGGGAACTGAACCCATACCTCTCATGTGGCTCCTACTCTTCCAGTCAGCGATGCTACTGTATACCAATGCACTAGGCAAGTCTTCTGGGATTTTCTGTAATATGATTTGTCCCATGTGGATAATATTTGCCTGTCAAAATGAACAGTGCAGCGATGCAGGACATGGGAATGCTTACAGTTGAAGTGGAACTTTGGGAAGAGTAGCTGTAGACATTGTGTTTCTAAGTTGGGTAAAATATAAATAAAATAATCAGCTTTTGATCAATCTAAGGATTCCTAGTTTAGGGAATACTCAGAAATTTTAATGGGAAAGAATTGGGCGTAGTCGGTGGTAAGGCAAAAGTAAAAGCAGAGCTGTTAACAAGTCTAGAAAAAACAAGCCAACAACAATAAAAAAGAATACAAATATCCCAAATAAGGTAAAATTAAATTTGTTAATACAAATTTAAGTAGTTAAGTAAGTAGTTACAAAACTACTTACTGATATGTTTATAATTAGATATAACATTTACTCTGCCATTATCCTTGATTTAGTGTGTGTGTTAATTTTTTTTTTTTTTTTTTTTTTTTACTTTTGTCTATGTTTATTGTATGCTGACTTTATTCTCCTGCCATAAGTTGTTTCTTCTGGGGTCTTTTTCTTCTGTGCAACTTCCCGTTTAGGAACAATTTGCTCCTTTTCAGTGAGGATCATCTCGATGTGGTAGGAGCTCACGTATGGGCTAATCTGCCCATGAGCACTGTAGGTACAATGGCGCATCTTGGGTGCCTTGTTCTCCTGAATATGCTCAATGATCAGAGAATCTACATCTAACCCCTTAAGTTCAGCATTACATTCTGCATTTGTAAACATGTATAGCAAAAATTCAGCACTCTTTTTGGGTGACTGAGTTTGTATCTAGGTTTGGCCTGGGCACATCTACCAACTCCATCATTGTAATGATGGAATGGCACACACTGCTTTGGTAGAGTGACATCCTTCAGATACTTGGTGGCTTTTCAGATACGCATACCCTCGATGGCCTTAGCAGTTTCACGGGTATTCTTAAAGTGAATATGAAGATTTGAACCTTTTGATTTATATGACTTCACTATTCACTTCAGTCTCTGAGTCAAGAGAAGAGTGAACCATTTTCAATGATCACTTCAGGCCACTTACAAGAAGAGCAAGTTAATAGTTTTTAAATATTAGTAAAATGATACTTTTATTTTACTTATTAATTTCTTTAAGGCTTTTGCCATAGGGTGCATGTGCTCAACAGAGAGACAGAGACAGGGAGAGGGAGAAATCCCCCTCCCAGGGGGTTGGCCACACTGCAATCTGTTGTCCTCCTGGGATTTTGGACATGCACACACTTGTGTCCGGCATGATTTTCAAGCTGCCAAGTCTGAAATTTGAACTATGGTTGGCCATGTGGAAGTGTAGCACCTTAACCACGATGCTACCTGCTGACCCTGATACTTTTATTTTAAATAAAATAAAATTCTGCATACTTAGAATTAAGTAAAATCTGAAGCGAACTATTTTCCTATGCTTCAGAAATCTCTCTATAGAAACACTTAACACATTAATTGCAGATCTGTTTTTTCTATTCCTTACAATAAGGCCCCCCAATGTCCATTGAATGAATAGACCTAATGTGAATTAATCTTACATATTTGAAAAAAATTTAAATCCATATATTTTACATATTTTATGGCTCCTATATTAATAATGCAGGCTTGACTCTTCCTCTATTAGACTAATCAAAGAGAAGAAAGCTGAATAGAGTTAGTAATTACTGCTGTACTACTATAAACAATCATGTATTTTCAGTTAGGAATATGTGTGTTTCTAAGCCTGATTTTTACTTTCTTACAGGTTCGTGGGATCACTGGGTACCATCATCATAAAATGTAAAGATTTTCGAATTATTCAGCTGGATATACCTGGAATGGAGGAGTGTTTGAATATAGCCAGTTCCATTGAGGTAAGTATTTTGGGGGCAAAGTCTGGGAAAAAAAGATTTATATTCTGATCCAGTATAGCTCGTGTGTTTCTTCATTAGCTATTAAGTCATATCCTCTGAGTCAGGTGCTACAGGCTGATGGGAAAAAGCTTATCCTGATTCATTATTGCATGAGAGTAATGGGACTTTATTGACTTAACAGCAGCTCTTAGTGTTACTCATATCACGGATAACTGCACTTTCATGAATTGCTGAGAATTCCATGGAATTGTATTCCAATGGCTATTTTTTTTTCTTTTTTAAATTTTCAGAGTCTGTGAGATCAGCAGGTGGTGTGGTGGTTGGGGTGCTGGACTCCCACATGGCTGACCACAGTTTGAGACCCGGACCTGGTGACTTGCTCTCTCAATTTCCCTTTCTCTCTCTCTGATCAAATTGAAAAATAATAATGATGAATAAAATTAAATAAAATAATTGTTTAAAACTTTTTTCTGAGGCTATGTGTGCTTGCTAGAGAGAGAGAGAAAGAAAGAGAGGAAACACTGCCCAATGGGGTATGGTCATGCCACAGTCCTTTTTTCTCCATTCTTTCTTCCCGTCAGGATTTTGGACACACATGCACATGTACCCAGTGTGTTTCTCATTGGAACTGGATCTCATATGGCCAATCCTGGTTTGAATCCAAGCCCCAGTGGCGTGAAAAACATGCCAGATATTTTTGTATGCATGTGTGTCCAAAATCCTAATGGAGTGGAGAAATGGAGGAAAAAAGATTGCAGTGTGAACGTGCTCCATCAGAGAATTCTCTGTCTGTCTCTTTCTCTGGTGAGTGCATGTACCCTCTGATCCTTCCCCAAAAGAAGTACAAGTTGTTTTTTTTTTTCCCTGACACAAGTAATTATTACCAATGATTTTATAGCCTTTGTTTTCATTCAATTTGAATTTGCTTAATACAGATATGCTTGCTGTTTATTTATCTAAATAGTGTTGAATATTGGTTCAGATAACAGGAGTCCATACTCTCATTTTCTTCTCCACTCTTGCTAACTATCTTAGCATAGAGTAAAAATTTAAATAGCCTTATTTTAAATCATGCTGCTAAATTATATCAATTAACCTGATGTTTACGGTATTTTCTAGATAATTATAGAGAGACATTGATTTTTCTTTTTTTTTCTGCATAACTGACTCAGCTTTGTGTCTAGAATGCTATTGGCTTAGCTATTTTAAGAGGGCAGAAAGTCTTAAAAACCTGTTACTAAGATTCTGTTTGGCTTTTAAACAAAATAGTGGAATAGTGGAACGACTCTTGCAGGACTTAACTATTGGTACATAACAATTTTTCTTTCTGCCCTTGGTAAATTTTATATAAGCAAACAAGAAAATTTGACCTGTTTGCCTGACACATCTGTCATTTGGAAGTAACATGTAATGTTGATTTGGCCAAATTTGCTAACATGAGTGAGAAAGCATCGTAGCTTCTAGGCTGTAAAACTGAAATAATGTCCTGCTCTTTGCACAGAGGATCGCTGCTGTCCCGCTTCAGTTGAGCATGTTTTTGTTTTGTTTTGTTGTCAGTTACGAGGTTGCATTTTCACTGGCCGGTACACATTTTTTTTCTTCTTATCTCGCCGTGACTAGTGATCTCTCAGGTAGGAGGCTGGTGAGTCTTAGAGATGTTGCCTGAGATGACCAGCTGGAGGGGATGTATAGCCTATTATCCCCATGCTGATGGCATTCACTTAGCTTCCTTAACCTGACACTAATCAGTTGTTTAAGTAGTGAAATGTATTACCTAAAGCTCTTTAGAAACTGACTCACTGTATAGAAGCCCTTCGAGCTGAAAAGAAGCCATACTAGTTTAACCCCAGAAATGACTGCTCTGCTGAATGTTCTTAACATAGTGAATACATCCAGGAAAAAAGGCCGCAAGCCTTTTCTTGACATTCAGCCCCCCACCCCTACAACTAGACATAGTTTAGGAGTAATAAGTGAGTTTTTCACATTGCATGGTTCAACTGTTCTTTGTAACCAAGAGGCCATACCCAAGGATATTCTGCTGCCACAAATAGAATAAAGAGAATCCCACTGAAAATGGGAAGAATAATTGGCAAGTGTTCAGTTTTCTAAATTGTCATAGAATTGAGATGTTTTCCAGTTCTGTTATCATTACTTTGTTGGAAGGAAAAGACTTATCGAGTGACCTAAAATATAATCAAGACAAATTGGAATGTGTATGGTTATTGCCTGCCAGAGTGGTTGCTGACTTGCATTAAAAGAATGATTGTACTGACCAGTGGCAGGTCTGACTTTGGTCAGATACAGACCCTTGGCTGCTTTTGTTTGGTGTGATTGGCAGCCAAAGGCAGTGTGGAAGTGCGGGGAAAATATATGTTAATAGAAGTGGGTAGTGGATTATACAGACATGTTTTTCTATATTTTCTGTCTTGAAAGTTTTGGGGGAAAGGTTTCATGATTTACGGACAGTAGGAAAAGTAACTTTGAATGGGTTGTTTTTATTAAACTGCTGAACATATGTCCAATCTATTATCAAATAAATCATGATTATTGAATAAATCACAGCCCACTCTTTAGCGAGCCCGATCTTACTGGAACCTAGATGGAGATAACCTCATTCCGAGAGTTCTGGTGTACTTAGACATCATCCACTAATAGCATACTGTTGGGCTCCTCCAGTGAGTGTCTCCATAACTACTAACTTTGAATTTTGTTAATTGATTTGGTGCCTTTTTCTTCCAGCCATAGAAATGCTTTTTTCTGTAACTCCCTTGTCACAGGATGAATCTGCTAGTGATGGAGGATGTTCCTCCCACCCAGTCACTTTTTTCCTGGCTTGTCTATCATCCAGAATTCAAATGCTCCAGCTAAATATAGGTCATTTTGAGATGCTGGAATTATTACCTGCAACTTGAGAATGGGTCAGAATAGCATAAAGATGTGATGATACCTGATCAACTGGCATATCACTCTAGGAAGAGCTGAAATGAATATTGATGGAATGTCTACATTTAAGGAGCATATAATAGCTAAAATTATATCAGATTTTATTATGTGCCAGGCACTGCTCTAGGCCTGTTGTGTACGTTATCTCTCTTCATGCTCTCAACAACCCTCTGGGGTAGGTACTGTTATTTCTCCCATTTTAAAGTTGAGGAAATCGAGGCAGAGAGTTGTTAAATTACTTAACTATTACTGCACAACTAGGATTTAGAATTTGAGTGCAGCTGTTTGAGTCTCATTTGACTCTTGGCCCCTAAGCCATAGGAACCTTCTTTGTAGTTACTAACAGATGCTGATTTTAAATACTTTATGTATGCTTATATAGGTAATATTTGAATTTTGAGCTGAGACCCTGCCCTACTTCCTAACCAAAAACTGTATGTTCTCTGGTCTCTAAAATTGCTTTGACCTTTTTAATTAAGCTTTATTATATAGTGTCAAGAGGAATGGTTTCATTTTTCTCCTAGAATAGGTATGCACATACTTATGTTTGTTTATCTTTCATTTAGTCAACACTTACTGAGTATATGGTGTAGGTCCAATGTACTTACTGGAAGCACGAAAATTAGCTTCAATAGGACTATAATTGTATCTATTGGTAATACATTATAATAGAAATACATTGAGTGCCCATCACTATTAGGCCATATTTGCTGAATACCAATTTATCAATTGGAATGTGTTTCAAATTATCACATATTTCTTTCTTCTTTCTTTTCTTTTTGCCCTTAGGCCTTGTCTACCTTGGACTCGATTACCCTGATGTACCCCTTCTTTTATCGGCCCATGTTTGAAGTGATAGAAGACGGCTGGCATTCCTTCCTTCCTGAGCAAGAGTTTGAACTCTACTCTTCAGCTGTGAGTTAACTTTTGATAACTGTCGGTGATGAGAAATAACCCAATACATTATTTATCTTGTGAAAATGATCACTTCCTGAGACCAGTAGATGGGATAATGGTTATGTCACTGGACTCCCACATGGCCGACGGTGGTTCAGGTCCCTGATCTGGAGGCTTAAAACTCATGCTGGGAAGCGTGTGTGTGCAAGCCCAAAATCCTGAGAGGAGAATGGAAAAGGGATTGCAGTGTGGTTATCCCCCTTGAGGGGTGATTTCTTACTTTCTGTCTCTCTGTTTCTCTGTTTCTCTCTCTCTGCAGTGAGTGCATGCTCCCTATATAAAGATCTCTCTTAAGAAAAAGAAAAGAAAGAAAAAAAATGATCACTTCCTTTTGAAAAGTGATAAAGTTGACTTAAATATACCTAAAAGAAATATGTTTTAGCTGCTAGTCCTTCAGCCTCTGTCATTCAGAGATTCTTATAATCTGTTCTCAGTGCTGCAGCTTAAGTGATTTTTCTTCCAATGGGTTTATTCTAGTACATATATATTATTTTACCCCATGTTTATGTATTTCTTCTTTCGTGAGAGAGAGAGAGGAATAGAGAAAGACAGGCATCCTTAACAGGATCTCATGCTGTGATCTCCCTGCTAGCCTTCTAGTTAGCCAGTGTCATAGGCATGCATGAGCCTGGTGTTTACAAGTTGACCAGGGAACTGAATTCTGTTCTTCTGTATGACTTCTAGCAGTACAGAGCATTGTGGTACTGCTGGGCCATAAAGTACTTTTTTAAATTTCGAAAATGATATTGAAAACCATTAAGATCTACATAAAGGTAGTCCTGATATATTATGAGTTCACTGATGAATGATTTATAAGTGTCTTCTGGGGGCCAGCAGATGGCATAATAGTTACGTCTTTGGACTCCCATGTAGTCAACCGTGGTTCAAGTCTTGGACCCAACATCTTAAAACTCATGCTGGGCACATACGTGTGTATGCCCAAGATCGTGTTAAGGTGTGGGACTCCCACACGGCTAGTTGCAGTTCCAATCCTGGACCCGGTGGCTTGAAACTCATGCCAGGTGTGTGTGAGTGTGAGCCCAATATCCTGAGAGGAGAATGGAGGAGAACAGATTATGACATTGCCATCCCCCTGGGTGGTGGTTTCTTGTTTTCTGTCTCTTTGTCTCTCTCTCTCTCTCTCTCTCTCTCTAGTTAGTGCACATGCGCCATAGCAAACATTTCTCCTCTTGAAAAAGTATTTCCTGGGGCCAGCAGGTGGCATTGTGGTTAAGGTGCTGGATTCACACAGTTCAAATTCTGGACCTGGTGACATGCTTTCTCATTTTCTCTCTCTCTGTCTCTCTCTGGTGAGCACACAAGAGAGAAAATTGAAGAGAGTAAATTAATAATAATAATGATGATAATTTAAAAAATTAAAATAAATAATTTTTAAGAGAGATTTTTGCTATAGGGCATGTATGCCCACTGGAGAGACAGAGAGACAGAAAGTGAGAAATCACCATCCCCCGGGGGAAAGGCCACGCTGCAGTCCTTTCCCCTCTATTCTCTCCTTGGAATTTTGGGTATGCATGTATACATGCCTGGTTTGAGTTTAAAGCCTCCAGGTCTAGGACTCAAACCTCTGTTAGCCATGTGGAAGTCCAATAATGTAATCATTACATCATCTGATGGTCCCAATAAAAAATGTTTTTTAATAAAGTGAAATAACTTTATACGTAATAATTAGGATCTGAGTCATTCTAGAAGACCATGTGGAACCCACCATGTGCCTAAGAGTACCAGGGAACCTTCTTGTATATTGTATCTCTGGGTTAATTTTTTTGTTTTTATTATCTGAGTTGCCAAAACCGGGTTACTAGAACCAGATTTTCTTTCTTATTCTTGGCCATTTTACTTCCTTCTTTCATTATACCTCTGTAAGCGGGTACTAAGGGCATCAAGAAGATACATAGAATATAAAGAATAATCATCCGTAGCAAACAACTGAGAAAAGAAGAGGGATTTTTCTTTTTTATTTAGAGTAATTTGGCTACTACCTAAAAGCTACCATAGAGGAGCCTCAGTTATTTCTTAAATGGAAGAATGAGTGTAAGCTTGTGGTTAGGAAAGGAGCTCTCTGAATAATTTTCTTAATACCCAAAAATGTTTGTACATCACCTGTCCATGATTTATGGTAGACTTAAGTGCTTATTCCATTCCCTGTTGCTTACTAATTGAATACCTAAGTCTGGGTGATTTATAAAGAACAGAGGTTTATTTAGCTCGTGGATTAGAGGTCTGAGGTCAAGGGGCTGTATCTGGTGAGGGTATTCTCATTGGAGGGGACTCCCTGCAGAGTCCTGAGATCACATAGGGCATCACAGGGCAGAACAGAGCAAGTGCGCGTCTGTGTCCATGTCGCTGAGTCTTTTCTGTTCTCCTGCTCTCTTCTTATACATCTACTAAGATGTGATCACAGGGCCCTCCTGATGACCTTATCTAATCCTGATCACCTGAAAATTCCACTTTTTAAAAAAATTTTGTTTGGCGAAGTGTTTGCTGGAGGGAGGGCAGGTGAAAAGAGAGAGAAGGTGAGAAAGCACCCCGCTCCCCATGAAGGATGATCATGCCATAATCCTTTCTTTTCCATTTCTTCTCCTTTTGGAGTTTTGAGCATGCACACACACTAATGCTGCATGTTTATATGGTTTTTTAAATTAAGGAATTTAATATTAAATTTTATTCATCATCATTATTATTTTATTTTAATTTCTCGCTTTCTGTCTTTTTTTCAGTGAGCACACACATCCTATAGTGAAAATCTCTCTTCAAAACAAACAAACAAACAAAAAACAAAACACAAAGCACAGGGCATATGTGTATGCATATGAAAGAATGGAGGAGAAGGGATTGCAGTGTTGACATCTCTTCTGGGAGTTGATTTTTTACTTTCCCTCGCTCTGTCTCTCTCCAGCAAGTATATGTGCCCTATTTCAAAAACAAAAAACAGGTTGCAGCCCTTGTTTGGCTCATTAAGGTGGCAGTTTTTCTTAAACTAATCTATGGAATTCATGCAACTCCTATTAAAATTCCAGTAGGTAGTTTTGTAGAAATTGAGAAGGTGATCCTAAAATTTGTGTGGCAATAAAATACTGATAACCAATACAGCTTTGAAAAAAAATAGTAAAGGGTTTGTAATACATGATTTCAATGCTTACTATGAAGCTACAATAATTAAGAGAGTATGGTATTGGTATAAGATAGGCTTATAGGTCGATGAAACAAAATGGAGAGTCCAGAAGTAAACTTTCTCATTTATGTTCAATTGATTTTTTGATAAAGGATCTTGGCAAGAGAGTGGAAAGAATAGTTTTTTTCAACCAATGGCATCAGAACAATTAGATATCTATATGTAAAAAAAGATGACCTAGACCCTTACTTCACACCATCCACAAAAATAAAGTGTACCACAGATGTAAACATATGAGCTAAAACTATAAATTTTCTTAAAGCACAGGAGACCTTGGTTAAACAGATTTCTTGGATATCATATTGAAAGTAGATTAGCGATTTCCTATTGCTGGACATTTTGAAGTTGTTAATAATACAAGTGTATACAACTATCAGTATTCATAAAATTGTACACTTATAATGGATCCAGTTTATTTTTCATAAATTTTGTCTAGGTAAAGTTGATTGAAAAGAAAGACAAAGAAATTATTTAATGTAAAGTTTACGTAGCTGATTAGAAATAGCTAAACACAAATTAGTGATCTGAAATACAGGAAGGGTTTTCAAAATGTTCATGAAAATATGTGTTATGAAAAAAGATACATGGATTTCAAAACATTTTTGCCCCAAAATAAATTCATATTTTAATTCTTTTTCCATGAACATTTTAAAGTCCACTTGAAGGTCTGAATTACTCAAAATATAGAAGAAAAACAAAGATGGAAAAACACAGAGGTTAGTGACATACATGAATAATAAAAGAAGAGTCAGTATTCTTCTCACTGGAGTTTAAGAAGAAAATAATAGAGAAAGTGAAAGAAAGCAGTATTCAATAGATAATGGTTGAGAATTCTCCAGAATCAGCAAAAGTTATTGAACTCTAGGTTTAAAATGTCCCAGCAAATACCATGCAAGATAATCAAAAAGAAATTTTTCTTTAGACATACTGTGTCCTAGCTGCTGACCCTTTAAAGTAAAGCAAAGAGAATATCATGAAATTAGCCAGAAAGAAAAGACAAATTATCTGCATGGGAAAAAATTAGATTAGACATCTATTCAGCATAAGAGCTCTTATCGTGATTTGGAGAGAATTTATTTGACCTAATAAAGGGTGGCTGCCCAAATCAGAAACATATAAAAGCAAATATTTGATCATACTCATTAAATTCAAGAGTGAGGCAAGGATGGCTACTATTTTTTTTTTCCTGTAGGGCACCTACACTCACTGGAGAGAAAGAGAAGGTGAGAAAACACCCCCAGGGTGGATGGCCATGTCATAATCTCTACTCCTCCATTCTCCTTTCAGAATTTTGGGTGTATACACATACACGCCTGGTATGTCTTTCTCTCTACTCCTCCATTCTCCTTTCAGAATTTTGGGTGTATATACATACATGCCTGGTATGTCTTTCAAGTACTGGGTCTTGGACTTGAATCATGAAGTCGGCCATGCAGGATCCAGCTGCCTTAACCACCATGCCAGTGGCTGGCCAGGATGTCCACAGTTACTAGTCCTTATGTACTCAATAAGACAAGAAGGAAAAATACAAGGAATAAAGATCAAATTAAAAGAAAAACTGCCATTATTTGTTGACCATATATAGTTATCTACATAGGAAAAATGAAAGAATTTTAATTTAATTTAATTTATTTAGTTTTTTTTAGTTTTTTTGGCTACAGGGTATGTGTACACTCTCTGGAGAGAGGCAGAGACAGGGAAAGTAAAAAATCACTCCTAGGGAGGATGGTCACTCCACAATCTTGTCTCTTCCATTCTCCCCTCAGGAGGTGAGCTGGCCCTGTATCACAGTGTTTAAGCTCTATGCATTGGGAGCTGAATCCCATATGGACAACTACAGTTCAAATCCTAGGTCCAGTGGCTTGAGAAACACACTGGGCACGTGTGTGCGCCTGCTCAAAATCCTGATGGGAAGGAGAAATTGAGGAAAAAGGATTGTGATATGACCACATCCCATTGGAAAGTGTTTCCTTTCTCTCTATCAAGTTCATGTGCCCTCTGGCAGTTAAAAGAAAAATAAATTTAGATGTAAAATCCAAAATAATAATAATAATAAAGCAAAAAATATTTAGAATGGTTGCTTTTGGGAAATGGAATTGAAATTGGGTGAGCAGGAAATATGTAACTGCTTTTTTTGTATGTGTAATCTTTTAGACCCTGTAATATTGAAGTTGGTAACATGACTTTGAAAAGTGTCATAATGGTTAAGGAGCTGGCGAACTGCGGCTTGAATCCCAGACCTGGCAGCTTAAAAATCATGGTGGGCATTTATATGTACATGCCCAAAATCCTGAGAGGAGAATGGAGGAGGAGGGATTGCGGCATGGCCATCATCCTGGCGGATGATTTCTTACTTTACCTACCAAGCACATATACCCTATAGAAAAAATATCTCAAAAAAAGTTCACTTTAAAAATTAGATATTGTAGGAGCCAGCAGGTGGCATGGTGGTTAAGGCACTGGACTTCCACATAGCTGACTGCAGTTCAAGTTGCAGACTTGGTGTCTTGCTTTCTCACTTTCCTTTCTCTCTCTGGTCAAATTTAAAAATAGTAATAAATAAAATTAAATAAAAAAGTCTTTTTTAAAAAAAGATATTGTAACTTATAAAAACATTTAAAAAGATAATATTCTTTTCTCTCTTAAAATTAAAAATATTTTCTGGCCAGAGGGTACATGTGCTTAGGGGAAAGGGAGAGGGAGAGAGAGAGAAATTCCCCAGTGGGTCATGATCTTGCTGCAATCGTTTTTCCTCCATTTCTCCATTTCCCCAGGATTTTTGGCATGTACACCTGGCATGTTTTCAAGCTGCTGGGGCTAGGATTCAAACCAGGGTCAGCCGTGTATGATCTAGCTTTTGATTCACTGCAGTTAATTACTGTGTTATGGGACTATCCCAGTACTCTTCGTACAGTACATCTAACATATTTGTTAGCTTTATCCTATTTTTGTAACCCATGGTATGTTAGGTCAATTCAAATTTATAGGAACATGGGGCTGGCAGGTAGTATGGTGGTTAAGGGTGCTGGACTCCCACATGGCTGACCAAGGTTCAAGTCCTGAACCTGGTGGCTTGCTTTCTCTTTCTCTCTCTCTCTCTGTGTCTCTCTCTCTGGCCAAATTAAAATAAATGAATGGATAAATAAAATTTAATAATTAAAATAAAAAACAAATTTATAGGAACATATTGAAATTTATCTATATATGTGTGTGTATACATCTATACACATATATATGTGTATATATATTTATGTATGTATATATTAGATAAGTCATCAAGAAGGTCATGACATACTTTCCTATGCAAAAATGCTTCATGATTTTCCTGACAACTCAATCTATGTATGTGTGTGTGTGTATAATTCTTTTTAAAGTTTACAGTCTTCAAGCAGTTTTTAATTCTGATGTTTAAAATAAATTGTCATTCAATAGCTTCATATGCATTTAGTCCTTAGTGCACTGAAGTAGAAATTATTTCATTGACATCTGTAAATGTAATCTTCCTTAATTGTGAATCATTATTGTTTTAAGAAAGATGTTCTAATCTTACTATATTATTTTTCCTTTTAAAAATAATGGATAATATTTGATATAGATAGTACTAGTCTGTTCTGGGTAAGCATTATCTGGAGTACTACAGTCTTACTGCTGCTATGCTTTAAGAGTACCATTTATAAACCACATAGTGGGGCTGGCGTGGCATGGTGGTTAAGGCACTGGACACTCCCACATGGCAGACCATGGTTTGAATCCCGGACCTGGTGGCTTACTTTCATACTTTCTCTCTCTTGTTCTCTATCTCTGTGTCTCTCTCTGGTCAAATCAAAATAGATGAATGAATAAATAGAATTAAAAATAAATAATTATTTTTTAAAAAAGTAAAATAAACCAAGTAGTATCATGAAAGGATGTGATGATGGGACAGCCAATGTCCCTGAATCCCAAATGGCTGACTGTGTGGTTTGAAAAACACACTGGGCGTGTGTGTATGTGCCCCAAATCCTAAAGAACAATAGTGGAGGAGGGATTGTGTTACGACCATCCTTCCTGGGACGTGCTTTCTTTCTTTCTCTCTCTCTCTCTCTGTCTCTCCAGCAAGCTCACATACCCTATAGCAAATTTAAAAAAAGAAAAAATAAATGTGATGAAGATGGATATGGTAATCATGGATATACTTAATGTATTTAATTGGGAGAATGAAAGACTAAGGGGAGGAGCTGGCCAGGTGGGTTGGTGGTTAAGGCCAGTGACTCCCATGTGGTTGACCAAGGTTTGAGTTCTGGACCTGGCAATTTGTTCTCTCACTTTCTCTTTCTCCCTCTCTGATCAAATTAAATAATAATAAATTAAATAAATAATTCTTTAAAAAAATAGACTAAGGGAAACAAGTATCTTTCAAATACTGATCAAATGCCATACGAAATAAGGCACTTGTACCGTGTTGTCTGAAATCATGACAAATATCAATAGAAGTTACAGAGCAGGTGGTTATGCTCAGTATGTGGAAAAACTTTCTAGGAACTAGTGATACCAAACAAGGAAGCTGGTCTTGAAGAATGGAGCTCTTTTCTGGAAGTATTTAAATATAGGCTAGGTATCTTCCCATTGAATTTCTGAAAAATGACTTCATCAGAGAAAGTTGATCGCTAAGATCCTTTAAAATTTTTCAGTCTGGGCCAGCAGGTGGCCCAGTGATGGTTAGGATGCTGGACTCCCACATGGTTGACTGTGGTTCAAGTCCTGAAGCTGTTGGATAACTTTCTGACTTTACTTCTTTATATCTTTCTCTCTGGTGAGTACATGGGTCCAGTGGCAAGTTAAAAAAAAAAAAAAATAGTAGGCTTGCTTTCTCACTTTCCCTTTCTTTCCCTCTCTCTCTGTCTCTGTGTGTGTGTGTGTGTGTGTGTGTGTGTGTGTGTTTCTCTCTGGTCAAATTAAAAAATAAGTGAATGAATGAATAAAATTAAATAAAAAATTCTAAAGAAAATAGTAGAACTGTCAGGTGGTGTGGTGGTTAAGGTGCCGCACTCCCACATGGCCAACCACGATTTGAGTTCTGAACCTGGCTACTTGGTATCTCACTTTCCCTTTCTCTCTCTCTCACTCTCACTCTCACTCTCTCATTGTGTTCCTCTGTGGTCAGTTAAAATAAATAAATAAATAAAGTTAAATAAAATAATTCTTAAAAAATAGAAATAATAATGATGATAAAATAAATCTTAAAAAAAATTTTTAGGTTATTTGGCTACGTTGAGACATTTGCTTAGCTTTAAAATATTTTGTATTTTCCAGACCAGTGAATGGAGGCTCAGCTATGTCAATAAGGAATTTGCTATCTGTCCCTCTTACCCACCAATTGTCATAGTTCCCAAATCCATTGATGATGAAGCTCTTCGGAAGGTAGCTGCGTTTCGGCATGGAGGCCGCTTTCCAGTACTAAGCTACTATCATAAGAAAAATGGAATGGTAAGTGTGTAGTGCTACTGCTTGATCTGCTGAAAGGCTTGGCTTGGGAAATTTGTCTTACCGTCTCATGCTGCTATAACAGAATACCTGAGACTGATAAGTTATAAAGAACAGAGATTAGTTTATTACAATTCTAGAACCTCTGAAGTCCAAGGTTGAGGTGCCTGTATTGGCAAGGACCTTCTGGCTGACTTTAGAAAAGCATGAGAGCCATGATACACATGTGCATACACAAGGGAGAGGGAGACAAGGGAAGGGGATGGAACCCAGGGTTATCAGGAACACACTCTTGCCATAATTAACCTGCTTCAGAGATAACAGCATAAATCCTGAGGGCCCTTCTCTTAAAAGTCCCACCACTTAACATTATTGCTCTAGAGATTATGTTTCTAGAACAAGAACTTTGAGGGACACTTTCTAACCACAGCAGGCTCTTTTCTTAGAAATGTTCCCTTTTATGGGGGCCAACTGAAGGCGTGGAGGTTAAGGTAACTGGATCCCATATGGAGCACCTGGCAGCTTGAGAAACACACTGGCATACGTGTGCATGCCCAGAATCCCAAAAGGAGGGAGAAATTAAAGGCATTGTGACTGGCCATCCCCTTGGGCAGTACTTTCTAACTTTCCTCTTTCTCTCTCTCTCTCTGTCTCTCCACTGAGCACATGCACCCTCTAGCAAACTTGGAAAAAAAAAAAAGAAGGAAATATTCCCCTTTTTAATGTACCTGTTCATTGAAGTGACTGGCCAAGTCTCTTCTATTAGGATTTCCTTCACATAAACTGCAGGGAATCAGGAGGAGTATGTTTTCTGGGATAAGTATATGACTCTGGATTCTTCCATGATACTGCTCTTCAAAAAGCCCAGATAGGGACCAGTAGTTAGCGTAATGGCGATGTCTCTGGACTCCCACGTAGTCAACTACAGTTCGAGTCCCGGACCTGGTGGCTTAAACTCACGCCAGGCACGTGTGCGTGTGTGCCCAAGATCCCGAGAGGAGAATGGAGGAGAAGGGATTGCGGCCTGGCCATCCCCCCTGGGGGGTGATTTCTCGCTTCCTGTCTCTATGTCTCTCTCTGTCTTTTTGGTGAGCGCATGCGCCCTATAGCAAAAACCTCTCCAGAAAATAAATAAATAAATAAAGTTAAAATCATTAAAAATTAAAAAGTCCAGAGAGATTTATCTTCAGGACACAGTCAAAGAAAACTTGTTTACTTGATACTAACAGCAACATTTAAAAAAAAAAATCAGACTATTTATTCATTTCAATGAAAGAAAGAGAAAGGTATTTATTTATTTATTTATTAACCTTTTTCCCATAGAGCACATTACAAGAAAGAGAGAGAAATAGTGAGAGGGAGAGTGAGAAATCACCCTGTAAAGGGGATGGCCACACTGCAGTCCCTTCTCCATTCTTCTGGGATTTGGAGCATGCATACACATTGTACCTGGCATGATTTTCAAGCCCCCAGGTCCAGGATTTGAACTGCTGTTGTTCGTATAAAAGTCCAGTGCTTTAACCACAATGCCACCTACTGGTCTCAACAGCAACGTTCTTCTTCTTCTTCTTTTTTTTTTTTCAATTTTGACTTTATTTATTTATTTACTTATTTTAATTTGACCAGAGAGGGGCAAAGGGAGGAGAGAGAAAGTGAGAAAGCAAGCTACCAGATCCAGGACTCGAACCGCAGTCAGCCATGTGGGAGTCCAGTGCTCTTAACCACCATGCCACCAGTCAGCCCCAACAACAACATTCTTAAGGTACAAAAATGAGAAATTTTTCTATCTAGAATATGGTAATACACTATATTATAATCACTGTCACCAAATCTTTATGTGAAAGAGATATCATTTAGTATCAACTTTAGTAAAACACAAGAATTGAATAGGGAAGAGCTTGTCATGTTTTTTGTTTCCTAAATATTTCCAAATCTCTTTCTCCTTTCTCATTTTCTGTCAATAAACTCTACTTCTCATTTTTTCAACCAATAATAAATTAGTCAATGAGTATAGCTATCTTCTATTTTCCTTTCCCCTTAGTAACATGTCAGAAAATGCATATTTAGTATGCATTTAGTAAAAGATTTTTAAAAATCTGTAAAATCTGTTACTTTGGCAATAGGCCACCTATCCTGCCTACTCAATAGTATTGCTATTTAGAAGGGTTTATGATAAACTATTTTAACAACTGATGTTAAATATAGCATGTGTCCATTCAGGAAGCACTATCTGAAGGTTAACTCTTGTCATCCTCTGGGTGACCTTTCTCAATCATGTTGCAGTTCAGGGTAGTTAAGATAGCAGTATGTGATGGTGATCTCTTGAAATAACTCTAAACCATTCACCAGGGAAAAGATTAGTGTAACAGATACAAATTTCTTTCTTGCTCTCTCTTTTTTTAATTTGCCAGAAGGTGCTAGAGAGAGAAAGAGAGGGAAAGTGAGAAAGCACTCCCCCTGAGGAATGGTCACACCAGATCCCTTTTCTATTTCTTCCTTCTTTGGGGATTTTGAGCATGCATGTACACACAATTTCTCTAGCCACAGGTCTGGGACTCAAACTTCACAATCAGTCAACTGTATAGTATCCAGCTGCCTTCACTAACATGCCACAGGCTGGCCTGAGAAACATTCGAAAAACTAAGCTTTCAAAATATGTAGCCTTGGGGGAACCAGCAGTTAGCGTAATGGCTATGTCACTGGACTCCCACGTAGTCGACTGCAGTTCGCGTCCTGGACCCGGTGGCTTAAAACTCACGCCGGGCGCGTGTGCGTGCGTGCCCAAGATCCCGAGAGGAGAATAGAGGAGAAGGGATTGCAGCGTGACCATCCCCCCTGGGGGGTGATTTCTCACTTTCTGTCTCTCTGTCTCTCTCTCTCTGTCTGGTGAGCGCACGCTCCCTATAGCGAAAATCTCTCAAAAAAAAAAAAAAATGTAGCCTTGGGACCAGCAGTTAGCGGAATGACTATGTCGCTGGACTCCCATGTAGTTGACCACGGTTCGAGTCCTGGACTCGGTGGTTTAAACTCACGCCGGGTGTATGTGTGTGCCCAAGATCCTGAGAGGAGAATGGAGGAGAAGGGATTGCAGTGTGGCCATCCCCCCTTGCTTTCTGTCTCTCTCTGTCTTTCTGGTGAACGCACGCTGCGCACGCACCCTATAGCAAAAAACCTCTCCAAAAAAAGAAAAAAATCAATAACTGCTGTTGAATTTTCACTGTATTTTCCTTCTAGGTGATTATGCGAAGTGGGCAGCCACTCACTGGCACAAATGGGAGAAGGTGCAAGGAAGATGAAAAGCTGATAAATGCTACCCTCAGGGCAGGGAAACGAGGCTACATCATTGACACCCGATCTCTAAATGTGGCTCAACAAGCTCGAGCCAAAGGAGGTGGCTTTGAACAAGAAGCTCATTATCCTCAGTGGAGGCGCATTCATAAATCCATTGAGAGGTAAAAGATTCTGGAGCTAGCAGGAACTCTTATTTGAAGCTAATTTTAGTACAACAGATGAGACAGATGAGCCCTAAGCTGTTTAGAAGTGAGATAGTCAGTAATTGACTACATCTCTTCATGTTTTGTTATTGTTCAGCTTTATTAAGGTTTAATTGAAAAAAACCTTGTAGTCCAGCTTCGTGACCTGGTGGTTAAGGCAACTGGATCCCACATGGCTCACCTTGTGGTTTGAGTCCCAGGCCAAGTGGCTTGAGAAACACACTAGGTATGTGTGTATGCCCAAATACCTGTAAGAAAGGAGAAAAAAGGAATTGTGGTATGACCATTATTCACTTTCTTCACTCCCTCTATCTCTGCCTCTCTCTGGCAAGCACATGCAACTGCTAGCAAAACAACAACAAAAAAACAAAACAACAACAACAACAACAAAAAAAAAGTGTATGCAGTTATCTTTCAGTATCTGTGGGCAGGAATAGCAAAATCCACAGATGCTTACGTCTCTTATATAAATGGTGTCATACTTGCATATTACCTATATATAGCTTATATACTTTTCTTTATTCATTCATCCATCGAAGAACACTTAGGTTGATTGCATATCTTGATATCCATATTCCAGATTTTTAAATCCTAATAGGCCCTTTTTACCCACACAATTCTTAAATTATAAATTTGCCAATTTTGTTTTTTGGGTTTTTTTAAAATAATTATTTATTTAATTCCATTTGTTAGTATTACTACTACTATTATTATTATTTAATGTGACCAGAGAGACAGAGAGAGAAAGGGAAAGGGAGAAAGCAAGCTGCCAGGTGTGGGACTTGAACCACGGTCAGCCATGTGGGAATCCAGTGCCTTTAGCCACCACACCACCTGCCAGCCCCAACCTTCTTCTCACAATTAGTGCTGCAATGAGCAGGGTTATGTAGATACATCTGTGAGATCCTGATTTCATTTCCTTTGGGGATATACACAAAAGTGTGATTGCTGGATCTTATGGTAATTCTATTTTTAATTTATTTGAGGAACCGCCATACTGTTTGCTGTAATAGCTGTACCCATTTACATCCCCACAAATAGTGTACAAAAGTACCTTTCCTCCACATTCTTGCCAACATTTACCTCTTGTCTTTTCGATAATAATCATTCTAATAGGTGTGAGGTGATATCTCATTATAGTTTTAATTTGTGTTCTCCATATAATTAGTGATGTTGAGCACTTGTTGACCATTTTTGTGTCTTCTTTTAAGAAATTTCCCTCAGATCCTTTGTTCTTTAATCCAGTTATTTGTGGGACCAGCAGTTAGCATAATGGCTATGTTGCTCCCATGTAGTTGATCGCAGTTCGCATCCCAGACCTGGTGGCTTAAACTCACTCTGGGCGCGTGTGCGTGCATGCCCAAGATCCCGAGAGGAGAATGGAGGAGAAGGGATTGCAGTGTGGCCATCCCCCCTGGGGGGTGATTTCTCACTTTCTGTCTCTCTGTCTCTCTCTGTCTGTCTGGTAAGCGCACGTGCCCTATAGTAAAAACCTCTCAAAAAAAGAAAAAAATCCAGTTATTTGCTTTCTTATTATTGAGCTGTTTGAATTCCTTATAGGTTTTGAATATTAATCCCTTATCTAATGAATTGTTTGTAAATATTTTCTTTCATTCAATGTCTGTGTACTCTCTCTATTCTTTCTTTTAGTTTGATGAAATCCCATCTGTTTTTGCTTTTGTTGCCTATGTGTTTTGGAACATATCCCCAAAAACTAATTGACTAAACCAATGTCAAGAAGATTTTTCCCTATGATTTTTGTTAGTAGTTTACAGTTTCAAGCCTTATGTTTATGTTTTTTATTTACTTGAATTACCTTTTTAATGTGTCGTTGAATTCAGTTTGCTAGTATTTTGTTGAGGAACTTTGCATCTGTTTTTATCAGGAATATTGACCTGTAGTTTTTTTCCTCGTAGTGTCCTTGTATGCCTTTGGTATCAGCATAATGCCGGCCTAATAAAGTGAATCTGGATGTATTCCCTATTGTTTAATATTTTGAGAGAGCTTGAGAAGGATTGGTGTTAATTCTTTTTTAATTATTTGGTAGAATTCAGCTGTGAAGCCATCAGATGCTGGGCCTTTAATGGGGGATATTTAATAATTGATTCAGTCTCCTTACGTGTTATTGATCTATTCAGATTTTCTGTTTCTTCATGATTCAGTCTTGATAGGTATATGTTCCTAGGAATTTACCGATTTCTTCGAGGTTATTCAATTTATTGGTGTATAATTGTTCATAGTAGTCGCTTATCCTTTGTAGTCCTGTAGTATCTCGGTTGTAATGTTTCTTCTTTTGTTTCTGATTTCATTTGAATCTTTGCTCTCTCTCTTTTTAGTTACTCTAGCTAAAGGTTTGTCAATTTTGTTTATCTGCTTTAAAAACCAACTTTCTCATTGTGTTTTATAAGGTAAACGAAAGAACTGCTCAGAAATGGCCACCAATAAGTTTTAGCCAAATAGCATTCTTTTTTTAAGTCACCTCTAAAACCTTATCAAGGGCCAGCAGGTAGCATGGTGGTTAAGGCACTGTATCCCACATGGCTGACTGTACAGTTTGAGTCCTGGCCCCAGCAGCTTGAGAAATCACACAGGGCACATTAGTGTGTGTGTTCCAAAATTCCAAGAGGAGAGTGAAGAAGAAGGGATTTCAGAGATTGTGGCCACCCCCCTGGAGAGCGATTTCTCACTTTCCCTCTCTTCTGTCTCTATCTCTCCGGCAAGCACATATACCCAATAGCAAATTTTTTTTAATAAAATATCTGCTCCTCTGCTTGTAAATCAGTTGTTGCCAAAGTTACTGAACATATTTGTTATATTTTCCCCAAAGATTTTAGAGACTTAATTTCTCCCCATATGCACCTATTTTCACCCTATTTTTCTTTTTCACCTTTATAGTCTCGTTTGTTATAAATGAGTGGTTTATGAGTGCTTCTCAATGGGCGGGTGAGAATGGTAGCTGAAAAACAGTGGGATCTGAACTGGTCCCAAGTTATCCCTGCTTCTGGTATCAAGATCTAGTGTTCAGTCTGTAGGAATAGGCTGCAGATGTAATCCTGGTGAGCTGCTACAAATGCGTTGCTCGGGCTGTTTCCTCAATCAGACGGTCCAGCTCTGTGAACTAGGTTTAATATGTTCGGTTGAGGAACAGTTTACCATGACAGGCATTTTAAGCCTCTTGGCAATGATGTTTGAATATTAGTGTCTCAATCTTTAAGCATCAAGTTACTGTATAGCAGGGTAAGTATTTTTATAGTACAGTATTTTGAACTTTTGCTCTTGTATATATTAGACGCTGAATTTGGGGTTTGATTTCTTTTATCATTCTATTTCCATTTTAAAGATTTTTTTTTTTTTTTACTTTTTCTTATTTTTAAAAGATATCATGTTCTTCAGGAGAGCTTAATCAAACTTGTGGAAGCTTGTAATGACCAAACACATAACATGGACCGATGGCTTAGTAAATTGGAGGCCTCAAACTGGCTGACTCACATCAAAGAGATTCTGACGACCGCCTGTCTAGCGGCTCAGTGTATTGACAGGTAAAGTGCATTTCAGCATTCCTGAGTGGGATGTGCACTGATAACTAGACTTTGTTTTTAATTCAGACATATATTTATAGATTATGTCAAAGTTTGTGCCTGTTCCATATCTTGTGTTCAGACCATTGTGTAAATTACTGTGTAAGATAGTCAACACCATTCAGTTATAGATAAGGTATGTACATAGAGTCCGGCATTTAATAGATAATTGATGTTTGTTTAATAAACTATGTATACTTACACATCTTCTTTGACGCAGATTTTTAAGTACTAAAGAAGGCTTTTTTTTCTATAAAATGCTTGGATTATGAATTTACCAATGTTGTTTTTTGTAAGCTGTGAAAAAAAGGAAAGACAGTTTTCTTATTTATTCTCAGAGGGTCAAGTTACCGCCTTACCTTTGAAATATCAATGAGGGACCAGCCAAGTAGTGTTGGGGCTAAGGCAGCTAGATCCTGCATGGTTGATTGCATAGTTCAGGTCCTGGACCTAACAGCTTGAAAAACACAGCAGGCACCTGTATGTATGTGCCCACAATCCCAAGAGGAGAATGGAGGGGAAGGGATTGTGGCATGGCCATTCCCCCAAGGGGGTGCTTTCTCCCTCCCCCCCCCCCCGTTCATCTCTCTCCAACAGGTGCACATGCCCTATAGCAAATTAAATAATAAAAATAAAATAAAATAGCATCAAAAAATAAAATACTTAGGATAAATTTAATCAAGGAGTTGAAGATCTGCACACCAAAAGTATAAAACATTGGTGAAATAAATGAAGAAGACACAAATGGAAAGATAGCCTGTATTCATGGATTAAATAATAAAATTTTTAAAAATGAAATATCAATGAAAGGAAGCCTATGATTTTGTCACAGAGTAAAGTGATCCCTTCTAATGTTTCAGATATCTTACTGCAAACTATATATAATATGTGCCATTGTATCTGCATCTCAACTTGAGAAAACCCAATGGTAGCAATGTGAAGTATATGAAGTGATTTAAATTTATTCACTCAGTTAAAGATTGCTAATCCTTGAGACTTGAGGCAGAAGACTTGAACAGAGACAGGATTGGTATAAATTGTTGCAGAAGCATAGAATGCCCTTTTTAAGAAGGACATTCCCACTGAAGAAATAGGTAGGTCTAAGTACTGTCTGCACGGTTGGATGATACTTTCCTTTAGAGTTTAACTTCTTTTATTGATGCCTCTGTATTAGGGATACATAAATGTAATGTTTTATGGTTACAGAGAAATGGATAAATAGATAGTTGCTTAAGATCATCTGATAAGTCAGTCACAAACTGAGATCGCATGGAGACCTTTGAGATCCGAATTCTCAGCCTGTCACTTTTCTGTGTTGTAGGCATTAAATGGGGCTTATGTAGCTAATAAAACATGGGAATTAAAGACCAAGGTTTGGGGCCAGCAAGCAATGTGGCAGTTAAGGTGCTGGACTTCCACGTGGTTTGAGTCCTGTACCCAGTGGCTTGAAACCCACACTAGATGCATGTGCATGCATGCCCAAAACCCCAAGAGGAGAATGGAAAAGGGATTGCAGCATGGCCATCCCCCCCTGAGGGCTGATTTCTTGTTTTTCTCTCCATCTCTCTAGCAAGCTCCAGCACCCTATAGCAAAAATCTCTAAAAAGGACCAAGGTTTTGTGACATATAAATCAGTAATGTAGAATGATGAGATGTTAATATTGAGTGTTTTGTTTCTTTCAATGTAAGTTTGCCAGATTTCTCCTTACATTATGAATGCAGAGGCATTTGTCTTCTTATGAAAGATGAATTGTAGTAAACATTTATCACTCTGTTGTCTAAATGTTCATCCATAATAACAAAGTAATGCAGATAAGGCAAACCTAGGTGCAGAACAGTTTTTATTGTCTCCACTTTGTTTAGTTTGGTCCAGCCACCTTAAACAAATAATGGGTTCCAAACACTTACAGGATTGATAGTTTTAGTATGTCTTGCCATATTTGGGTTCCCTTTGCTTCTGTAAAATTTTGTACAAATGCATATGCTTGCGTGCCCAAAATCCCAAGAGAAGGATGTAAGAGAACAGATTGTGGCAGGGACACCCCCGCCATGGGGTAATTTTTCACTTTCTGTCTCCCTGTCTCTCTCTGTCTCTCTGGCAAGTGCATGAACCCTATAGCAAAAATCTCTCTCAAAAAAAAAAAAAAAATTAGGGGGACCAGCACGTAGTGTAATGGCTATGTCGCTGGACTCCCATGTAGTCGACCACGGTTCGAGTCCCAGACCTGGCGGCTTAATCTCATGCTGGGCGTGTGTGCGTGCGTGCCCAAGATCCTGAGAGGAGAATGGAGGAGAAGGGATTGCGGCGTGGCCATCCCCCCTGGGGGGTGATTTCTTGCTTTCTGTCTCTCTGTCTCTCTCTTTCTGGTGAGCACATGTGCCCTATAGCAAAAACCTCTCCAAAAACAAGGAAAAAGAAAAGGAAAAAAAAAATTTCCCCGATAACTAAGTACTCAAAATGTAAATATAGATTTTAAATTAATTGACTTAAATTCAGAATATTGCACAGATAATATAGTCATTATATCAGAAAACTTAATATGTTTGCTCATACTCTTTAGCATACTCATTAGTTTCTGTCTGAAGAGTGGGATTGTTAACCTAACTATAGGTGAACTTCGAGGAGTATGCTATTTTCAAATTAAGGACCCCCAAATAATTCAGCAGAAGGCAAAAAACATAGGTAGATCATGTATAGTATAACAAAAATTGATGTAACTAAATATTCAACTATCGGATTCAGTAAACTGTAGGTCATCACTTAATAGAATTTTAATATAATGTGGGAAACTATTTTAATAACAGTGAAAATAACAGGGAATTACCTTTTATTATAGCCACATAAAGTATATATATATACAAGGGGGAAAAAATCAATGATAGTAACCAAATGTGAAGCTTTTATGTGAAGGTGATAGTTTCCTTTCTTCCAAAATTTTCTTTACTGTTGTCTCAATAAACAGGGTGTAAGAGAGGAGGATAAAAGATGTAGATAGTTTCTGTGTTTTATTCTTGCTAGGAGTATGAGATCCAGATACCTCAAAAGTCTCTTGAGACAGTGCTGTCCTGCTACTGACTTTCTAGTTGGATAGTTTCATGTTTTTGCTTTTTCCTGTTTCCATGTTTCTCCAAGTGTGTTTCTTTCTTTCTTTTTTTCTTTTCTTAAGATAGATTTCTGCTATAGGGTGTGTGCATTCACTTGAGAAACAGAGAGACAGAGAGCCTGAAAGTGAGAAATCACCTCCCAGGGGACAGCCACGCTGCAATCCCTCCTCATCCATTCTCCTCTCAGGATTTTCAGCATACATGCACATGCTCTCAGCATGAGTTTCAAGCCACCAGGCTGAGACTTGAACTGTGGTCGACTATGTGGGAGTCCAGGCCCCTTCAAGTGTTGTTTAAGACTTGTTTCCCAGATCCATTACAGTTTATGACAGTGTCCTTATACTCAGCTGATGGTAGAAAGATAGAATCAAGGTCAGAAAGTTAATTTTGAGTGTACATTTATAGGTTTGATGAGAAAAAGTTGTGTTTTTTTTAAAGAATTATTTAATTTAATTAATTAACTTATTTATTTTAATTTGACCAGATAGGGACAGAGCAAGAAGTGAGAGAGAAAGTGAGAAAGCAAGCTTTCAGGTCTGGGACTCAAGCTGTAGTTGGCCATGTGGGAGTCCAGCACTCTTAACCACCATGCCACTTGCCGGCCCCAAGAAAAAGTTTTAATTGATTATTAAAGTGAAAAAGTTAAGTATCTTCTATGCCTTTCAGTTTTGTAAAGAGAGAAAAACTTCAACAAAAAGAATTTATAAAATTGGTTTTAATTTTTTTTTTTTTGAGAGGTTTATGCTATAGGGCGCGTGCGCTCGCCAGACAGACAGAGAGAGACAGAGAGATAGAAAGCGAGAAATCATCCCCCCAAGGGGGATGACCACGCCACAATTCCTTCTTCTCCATTCTCCTCTCAGGATCCTGGGCATGCATGCACACGCGCCCGGCGTGAGTTTACACCACCGGGTCCGGGATGTGAACTGCGGTCAACTACATGGGAGTCCAGCGACATAGCAATGCTCCAAACTGCTGGTCCCAATTGGTTTTAATTTAAAGGGGTTCTTGCCGTGCAGAATTTAGGATTAATAATAGTTATAATTTTTCCAAGAAATGTTCTCATCTATTATTTACCTTATTTAGGCTCTAAACCCCACTGGACAGAGCAGAATGCATGACTGAAAATGGTACTCAATTAAGTGTTTATTATTAACAGAGTTCATTGACCATGTTGGGAGTATCCCATTTGTACTCTGGATTTTCCTATTAGGGAAGGAGCATCAGTATTGATTCATGGAACAGAAGGAACAGATTCCACCCTTCAGGTGACCTCCCTGGCCCAGATCATCTTGGAACCAAGAAGCAGGACCATCCGTGGTTTTGAGGCCCTCGTAGAAAGAGAGTGGCTACAGGTGAGAAAAGCTATCTGATACGCATAGGAGCTGCTAATAATTGATGTTATGATCCTAGTGTATGGAATTTTGATTAAAATTGTTGATTTGTGTGTTTAATTTTATGTAAACCATTATTCTTATCTTCCCCTTGATAAATGCTTATAATCTGTACTACCTCTCAATCTATGGCTCTCTCTTTACCTATACAGGTTTTGCATCCCTAATCTGAAAATTCAAAATCTGAAATGCTCCAAAATCCCCACAACTTTGAATGTCTACATGATGCCACAAATGGAAAATTCCACACTTGACCTCATGTGACAGGTTGCAGTCAAAATACTGCAATAAAAAAAAAGTGTCTAAAATTACTGTATGTGGCTGTATGTGTAAGGCACATATGAAACAGTAAATTTCTTGTTTAGACTTGGGTTCCATCCCCAGGATATCTAACTATGTATATGCAAATATTCCAAAATCTGAAAAAATCTGGAAGTCTAAATACCTCTAGTCCCATGCATTTCAGATAATGTATACTTACCCTGTATTGCTCTCGTTACTTCATTTACTTAAAAAAAATTTTTATAAGCTGTAATTTGTTATGTATAGGGGAAATAGAAAGATTGTAAAACATAGTCTGGTCTCCCAGAAGCTTAGTCCTGGTAGAGACTGAATACACGAGCAAGCACAGGAAGGGGAGGGAAGAGTGTAATTACGAGGCGTTGCACTGACTGTAGCACTTTCTGCTTTTGCTCGTCTTGCTCCAGTCTGTGTTCTTCCATGACCAGATGAATCCTTCATATACTTTAAAATCCAGCAAAATAGCTGTTTTTGTCAAGTCTTTGAGACTTTACCTTTTTTCACTTATAAAACTGATCCATTGAGGTCAGCAGGTGGCATGGTGGTTAAGGCACTGGACTGCCACCTGGCTGACCACAGTTCAAGTCCTGGACCTAGAGGCTTGCTTTCTCATTTTCCGTCTCTCTGTCTCTCTCTGTGTGTGTCTCTTAACATAGATTGAAATCCTGCAAGCCAGAGACTAATTTATGAAGATACTTTCACTAAGTAACCTAGTAAAAAATTTTGACAGAAAACAAACGCTTAGATGTATCTTGAAAGTGTGTATGTCTCTAGTGAAAAAAGAATTTCTGGCCCTTTAAGTTACAATTCACATTTATTACGTGTTAATGCTGTGTGGACCCTGTCCACCCTGCCTGACAACTCACCTTTATCTCTGTTTAAGTGAAAGCATTCTAAATTCACCTTCCATTTCAGTGACAGTCTATTCAACTACATTTCTCACGATGCATATTACAGAAACAAATGAATATGACTTATTTATATATTGACATTTTAATTGCTGTCAAAATCTCAGTAGGCACCAGAAAATTTTCATGGCAGTATCTTTGTCAGATAAAGTGTGTAAGGACCTAAAGATTGAACAGGTCTCTGAAGTACCTAGTAGAGTGTAAGGGTAGGGTGGTAGGGTCAGTACTTGAGTTCTGGAAAAGAAGCCCAAATGATTTCTTTTTGTTTGTTTGTTTTCTTTTTTTCAAGGAGAGAGATTTTTGCTATAGGACCATGTGCGCTCACTGAGAGAAATAGAGAGACAGAAAATGAGAAATCACCGCCCCGAGGGAGGTGGATGGCCACGCAGCAGTCCCTTCTCTTCCATTCTCCTCTCAAGATTTTGGGCACACATGCACACACGCCTGGCATAAGTTTAAGCCACCAGGTGCGGTCACCTACATGGGAGTCCAGTTATGTAACCATTACGCCATCTGCTGGTCCCCCAAATGATTCTTCAATTGACTTTGGTTAATAGACGACAGATTCTTCTAGCTCTTTTCTGGGAATGAAGAATTAAAGACAACCTTAGCTTTATCTCTAATATAAAGATTAGAGATCTCTTTCAAAGAGTGACCTTTTACATATGTGATTAAAGATTTAATATTAGAGCTCACCTTATAAAATGTATCTATGAGAGACCCATATTTGGCTTGATGAGGTTTATTAGCTTGCAACACAATCTGTAGTCTTAGATAGATGGTGATATATCTTCTATTTTTATACCTGAGAGCTTTTTTGACTTTGCTTATTATATAACTGTTGTCATTGTTAAGTTCATTATCTTTCCATTTGATATTCCAAGGACAGTTATAGTTCCTATAGTTGTGCCTTAACTACGTAGCTTCATTAAGGATTTGAAAATTGTGTCTTTTTTTTTAGCTAATGAAATTATTCATCTCAAGCCACAAAATCATTGATCTGAACAGCACCTATACCTAGTTATGTGATGTTAATTACATTAATTAACTGGAGTTAATAAGAATTTCATTTTGGGCCGGCAGACTACATGGTGGTTAAGATGGTAAATTCCCATATGGCTGTCTGCAGTTCTAGTGCTGGACCTGACAGTTTGCTCTCTCAGTTTCCCTCTCTGTTTCTCGCTGGCCAAATTTTAAAAAAATAATAAAATAAATAATAAATATAATAATAATAAACAATTTTTAAAAAAAATACCTTTATTTTAATGTGAGAAATGACATTAATAGAATGTACTATACTTTGATCTCAGTGGGATGTGACTGTCACATATTCATCTTTTTCCTTAGGCCGGTCACCCCTTCCAGCAGCGCTGTGCACAGTCAGCCTATTTTAATAGCAAGCAGAAGTGGGAGGCGCCAGTATTTCTTCTCTTCTTAGACTGCGTGTGGCAGATACTCCGTCAGTTCCCTTGTTCTTTTGAATTTAATGAGAATTTTCTCATCATGCTCTTTGAGCATGCTTATGCCTCACAATTTGGAACATTTCTGGGCAACAATGAAAGTGAAAGGTAGGTACAGTTTACATGGGACATTTAATTTTTAGTTGTTCTGGCCACTTCATAAATGAGACCAGGATTTGGTTCTGTGTTAATATTATTGATAAGGTAGAGGCAGGACCAGTAGATGGCGTAATGGTTATGTCTCTAGACTCCCACTTAGTCAACTGTGGTTCAAGTCCCAGACCTGGTGGCTTAAAACTCCTACCGGATATGTGTTATGCATGCCCAAAATCCTGAGAGAAGACTGGAGGAGAAGAGATTGCAATGTGGCCATCTCCCCATCTCGGGGGGTGGTAATTTCTAGCTTTCTGTCTCTCTCTGTCTCTCTAGCGAGTGCCCTTTCCCTATAGCAAAAATCTCTCTTAAAAAAAAAAAAAAGGTAGAGACTATAGCTAACTATAAATTAAATTATATAAAGTTTATTATGATGATGACCCAGTCACATACTAGGTGAGAACATAGGCTAGATGTTGTTCTAGTAAATTGAAATATGCCTTAGGGGCCAGCAGTGGTTAAGGGCACTGAACTCCCACATGGCCAACTGTGGTTCGAGTCCTGGGCCTGGTGGCTTGCTCTCTCACTTTCTCTCTCTCTCTGTCACTCTCTGGTCAAGTTAAAATAAAATAAATAAAGCTAAATAAAATAATTATTTAAAGAAGTTCTTTGGCTTCATGACTGATAGCCAAGCCATCATCATTTAGTTGAACATAAATTTTAGCAATTATCCATTTTTCACAAATGACTGGAATTGTTTTATCTTTACTTAGTTTAAAGCCAAGTAGACAGAGTAATACATGTTCTTTTTTTTTTTTAAGAGGTTTTTGCTATAGGGCGTGTGCGCTCGCCAGACCGAGAGAGACAGAGAGATAGAAAGCGAGAAATCACCCCCCAGGGGGGATGGCCACGCTGCAATCCCGTCTCCTCCATTCTCCTCTTGGGATCTTGGGCACACACGCACACGCGCCTGGCGTGAATTTTAAGCCACCCGGTCCGAGACGCGAACCGCGGTCGACTACATGGGAGTCCAGCAACATAACCATTATGCTAACTGCTGGTCCCACATGTTCTTTATTAGAGCTGAATTGACAAGTTTTTTTTTGTTTGTTTGTTTTGGGTTTTTTTTTGAGAGGTTTTTGCTATAGGACATGTATGCTTGCCAGAAAGACAGAGAGAGACAGCGAGACAGAAAACGAGAAATCACCCCCCAGGGTGATGGCCATGCCACAATCCTTTCTCCCCATTCTCCTCTCCGAATCTTGGGCATGCACAGACATGCATCTGGTGTGAGTTTAAGCCACCGGGTGCACTACTCAAACTGCAGACAACTATGTGGGAGTCCAGTGACATAGCCATTATGCCAACTGCTGGTCCCAACAAATTTTTAAAATATTTACCCATTGTATAATTCATATAAATGGAATTATACATTAAGTGACTTTGTCACTGGCTTTTTTTAATTAGCAATGTTTCCAATGATCATCCATACAGAGTATTGATATTTCATTTCTATTACTGAATGATATGCCTTTAATAGATATGGTCATCCTTTAGTTGGTGCACATTTGGGTTGTTTCTTTTTGGCTATCAGGAATAATGCTCCAATAAACATCTGTTTAAAAGTTTTTATGTGGACCTATGTTCACATATATTTTTAAAAAATAATTTTTTATTTTATTATTAATATTTTTTAAATTTGCTGTAGGACATGTGCACTCACCCGGGGGAAAAGAGAAAGAGAGAGAGGGAGAGAGGGAGGGAAAGCGAGAAAGCAGGCGACCAGGTCTGGAACTTGAACCGCAGTTGGCTATGTAGGAGTCCAGCACCTAATCAGCATGCCAGCTGCTGGCTATAAGGAATGGATCAACTACACAAAAGATAGAAATGTAGAGCCTTTATTGAGGACGCTTCCAGGGGAGGTTTGCTAGTCCGACAGAGAGAGAGGGCCAGAGAAATCATGCCCTAGGGAGGGATTTAGTGATTTTTATAAGGGTATAGGGAGGGGGAGTGTCTTAGAGGTAGAAGCAGTCCACGTATGGTAATGATTTAGGGAGAGAGCAAACTACTATGCCACATAGGGTCTGGTGCTGTGTGCAGAATAGAACGTCGTGTGCTACATCTGGGTTAGATCCAAGTACAATGCGGGTCTGATGACAGACTAGATCTGGGTTGCATCAGCAGACTGGTGTGGCATCCAACCCCTACATCCAAGCCGCCCAGGCCTCCAGCCTAACATCCTGACTGTTTTGGTGTTATAGGGTGCCATTCGATCATTAACTACTTCTGAAGAGGGGAAGCCAGGGGCTGAGGGCTCTGTGGGAACTTGTGTGTAGGGATGGAGGAGTATTTAGTTGACAGCCACGTGAAACTTCTTGGATTTGGCTTCAGAGGAACCTGAGAAAACAGAGTGTAAACATGAAGAGAAGCCAGATGAGAATTAATGGTCCTAAAATAGGGGCAATCCAGGTGATGAGGGTAGATTGCCACCAGTCTGGGAAATAAGAAGTGGGCTGTTGCTGTTGGCACGTAGTTCTTCGCTTAGATAGCTGAGAACATCAGTGTTTTGTTCAACCAGCCCTGTCTCATTGACATAGTAGCAGCATTCCTCCCTGATTAATAGACAGGTGCCCCCTTTTTCTACCATCAGTAGGTCTAGTGCGTGTTGGTTTTGAAGAGCTACTTGGGCAACTGAAGTGATTTGTCACTGGAGGGAGGCCAGGGAGGCAGCCAAGGCCTCAATGGTTAACTGGAGTTTTTCCTCTAGGTCCTGGGAGGTGGAGATGCTGTGAGTTAATGCCACCTCCCCCCAATTCCGGTGGCTACAAGGGAGGATGTTAGTGTCATGCCTACTACGATGGGAAGGAAGACTGCTCTTTTGGTGTAGGAGTATGTACAAGAGGGGGAAGCCAGCAAGAGGAATTCAGCCTGACCGTAGAGAGTTAGATCTGGGACTAGGGTTACTGGGAGATGAGGGAAAGGGGAGGAGGAGTTGATTAGATTGATTAGGGTGCCATTGCACTAAAAAAAGATGTCCTAGGGTCACAGAGAGAAAAGGAGATTGGGATGGACTGGCTACACAAGGTGTCCAAAGGAGCTGATGAGGTGTTGGTGCAACATGCTGTCTGATTTAGTTGGCCTGTATTTCTGAACAGTGGGATGTTTGGGAGAGGGCTAAAGGAGAGCTGTGAGGTGGTACAGGAAGCGCTTGGGAAGGGGGTTATTGGAACTGCTGTGAGGGGAGCCTGGCCTAGGGAGGCACAGAGAAAGCAGTCTGAGAAATTGTCCGTCCCTGTGGAGTTGAGGAAGGCTCCCTGTTGGACTAAGGATAGCTAGGAAAATGGGTCCGTCTTACCAGCCTGTCCAGCATTCATTTGTTGATTTAGGGAAACTTTGTGGTTATGAATGTTTGTTCATTGGTCTTTTAGTTGGTTGATGGTTTTGGGGACTACTCTGGTATAAGTCCGGAAGATCTGGATGGCCCCTGCTGGGGACGAACTGGTGGGCCCAGGATAAACTTTTACCCAGACTACTTTTACCCACCTTTGATGTTGAGGTAGAGCTAGCCTTGACTGTTGGTGGTAAGGAGGCAAGTGTCTTATAGTTTGTTGTGGGAGTCTAGTTGCACTGCTTGCACTTGGGGCATGGCTTTGTGGGCAGTTGGGGGCAAGGACATTGTCAAGCCCAGTGGCCTGTGTTCCCACACTTGAAGCATAATCCCAGGGGAACGGACTTAGATGAGGAAGTCCTATTCTTGTGCCCCTGTGGGGCCACTGGCCTCAGGGCTGCTACCAAGGCCTGGGTTTGGAGTGCCACCTTGTGGTGAAGGTGGGCATGGTGCCCAGCCTCAGCTGCTTCCTCCTGGGCATTGTAAACCTTAAATGCCATTTTCACCAGATCACAGACAGGGGTCTGAGTGTCATCCTCTGCCCGTTTAAGTTCCTTACAGATATCAGGCACTGACTAGGTAATAAAATGAGACGCCAAAACTGTGGCCCCAGTGGGTGAAGCAGGGTCTAATCATGTATAAAGAGTTAGGCCTGGGACCAGCAGTTAGCGTAATGGCTATGTTGTTGAACTCCCATTTAGTCGACCGTGGTTTAAGTCCCGGACCCGGTGGCTTAAACTCACGCCAGGTGTGTGTGTATGCGTGTCCAAGATCCTGAGAGGAGAACGGAGGAGAAGGGATTGCGGCGTGACCATCCCCCCTGGGGGGTGATTTCTTGCTTTCTGTCTCTCTGGCGAGCGTACGCACCCTATAGCAAAAACCTCTCCAAAAAAATGAGTTAAGGCCTCTATAAGGCGATTGAGAAAGACTGCTAGGTTTTCATCTGCCCCCTGGGTGATTGCCCAGAGTTTGTCAAAATTGACAGTTTTGTTAGAAATAGCCTGCATTCCATCCTGGAGGCATTGGATCATGTAGTCTTGTTTTTTTGGGCCAGAGATTTCTACCTGATAGTCCCAGTGAGGGTTGGTAGTAGGAACAGCCACTTTTCTGGCTGGTAGAGTCAGGTCAACCAGGCAGACTTGGTCGGCATGTTCTCGGGCTGCAGCCTGATCTCACTTGCTCTCATCCACAGTAAGGGTGGAGGACAGGATTACATAGCTGTCATGCCAAGTAAGAATATAAGCCTGAGTAAGATGGCGGAACTCTTTGATAAAAGCTGTGGGGTTAGCAGAGAAAGAACCAAGTCTTCTTTCTATTTGAGATAGATCTTAGAGAGAGAAGGGAACGTGGACTCTGACAATACCCTCCATTCCCGCCACTCCTGGAGAGGACAGAGAAGGTTAGAACTAGGAGAAGGGGTGGGAGAAGGGTGAGAGTGTGAGTGGGTATAGGAACTAACTGGAGACGGGTGAGGAGGGCATAGGAGTGAAGGATATGGAGGAGGAGGAGACAGCAGTGGTGAAGACAGGGGAGCAGTAGGGAGGGCTGGGACTGATGGCGCCGAAGTAGGACCGTATGGTGGGGTACTCTGAGGGGGGCTCTAGGAAGGAGGGGAGGTGGGGTAGTTCATCTATAGGAGAGAGATCGGCCTCTAGGAGAGGTTTGGTCTTAGACTGTGGGGTTCTGGTTGTGAGAAGGACTTGGGCAGTAGTGCAGGAGGTGCAGAGGGAGGGGCCGGAGTGCAGGTCCCAAAAGGCTTGGACATATGGAACCCCTAACCATCTGCCTACCTTTCAGCAATAGTTATCCAATTCAGTGAGGGTATTGTAATTAAAAGTCCCCTCAGGAGGCCATTTGGACCCGTTGTCCAAAGGGTATTGTGGCCAGGCCACAGTGGAATAGAATATCAGCCGCTTGCAGTGGAGGTCCTGAGCAAGTCCTAATTTGGTGAGTTTATGGAGCAGACAGCCCAGGGGCGTCTTTGGCTCAGTAACTGACTCGGTATTACCCATTGTGTCCAGGACTCAAGTGAGCAGAAAAGGGAAAGATGTCCTGAATCTCTTTTTGCACTCACAGAGCAGAACAGGGAATGGGCAGCAAGGAACTGAGACATCTCCACCATCACCTGAACTCCAGGAGTTGGAGGGAACGCTGACATGGCCACATTTTCAGACAGGGAACTCAGAGGTTTGAGTTCTGGAAACCATGGGCAGGTGGACTTACTCTCAGAGGCCAGAGCAGGTGGCCAGTCAGCGGTTGGTACGTTGGTTCCTGGTTCAGGGAAGGAGAGGCCCTCTGGGGACTGCGGGGCACAAAAATCCTCCTGGGTTTTGGCACAAAATGTAAGGAATGGGCCGACTACATGACAAAATAGAAATGCCTTTATTGGGAATGCTCCTGGGCAAGGTTCACTGGTCCGACAGGGGGGGGGCGGGGGCATAGAAGTTGCGCCCTAGGGAGGGGTTTAGCGATTTTTACAAGGGTATAGGGAGGGAGAGTGTCTTGGAAGTAGAAACAGTCCATGTATGGTAATGGTTTAGAGGGAGAGCAGACTACTGTGCCACGTAGGGTCTGGTGCCATGTACAGAGTAGAGTGCTGTGTGCTACATCCAGGTTAGATCTGAGTGCAGCACAGGTAGAAGACAGATGATATCCTGGTTGCATCAACCAACTGTGGTGTGGTGTCTAATCCCTACATCCAAGGTGCCCAGGCCTCTGGCCTAACACTGGCCCTGTTCATCTATCTTAGGTATAAATGTAGGATTGGAATCACTGAGTCATATTAACATTTTGAGGAGCTGCGAAACAAAACATCAGTGTCATTTTTTATTTCCACCGGCAATGTATAAGGTCCAGTTTCTTCACATCTTCACCATTTGTTATGGTCTGCCTTTTTGATAAGCCATATTAGTGGGTGTAAAGTGATTTTTTATTATGGTGACTTGCATTTCCTTGATGGCTAATGACATTGATCATCTTCGTGTTCATTGGCCATGTGTTTATCTTCTTTGGAAGAAATATCTGTGTATATATGAGAGGTCTTGAGAAGGTTCATGGAAGGCCAGCCCCTTGGCCTAGCAATTAAGAGAACATTCTCTTGGTGGAGGTTTTACACCAAACCTGGCATGACCGGATTCTGGTATTATCTTTCTTGCCAGCTTCTTGAGATCCTACGTAGAGGCTTTGTTACGTTACTGAGAGTTATGACAGATATTTTTATTTCCAACATTTTATTTCTCTACTAAAAGTTTTATGTTCTCTCTTCTGTCATACAAAGGGGAGAAACTGTCCTATTAATATAAATATTTAATAGTGCTTATTATAAATTGACTGCTGTAATGGAAAACTTTTTTTCTTGATCAGATGTAAATTGAAGCTGCAGCAGAAAACAATGTCTCTGTGGTCATGGGTCAATCGACCCAGTGAGCTGAGTAAGTTCACCAATCCTCTCTTTGAAGCCAACAACCTTGTCATCTGGCCTTCTGTTGCTCCACAGAGTCTGCAGTTGTGGGAAGGTAAGCCTGTGTCCCTTACAGACTTCAGTTACCAGTCACGTGTGCTCTCTCACCTGCAGGACATTCATGCTGTTGTTGATACTTGAACATGGTGAACTAGATGTGGTTCTCAGACCTGTGTGTGCTTATTGTTTTCCTAGTGTGGGCATGGTGTTCTCTTTCATATCACTTATCCAGTCACACTTTTTTTTCAGTTCCCATTTAATAAACGAAATGGTTAGTTAGTAGACACTGCTGTTTACATTGGATAGTTTCCAGAGATAAAGAAAGTGCATTACTTTTTGCATAAGAGAGTTGGTAGGTAGTTGGAATGAATAAATTGTAAGCTCCTTGAGGAAAGTTTCTGTCTGCGTTTTTATTAATTAGTTGTTAGGAGAGGTTCTTGGGTTAAATGCTGTTTAAGAGTTGCATGGTTGCCATTCCAATAAGGTTCTATAAATGGACACAAAGTATGAGCCATGAAGTAATGTGAATATCTCACTGTTTCTATGGAGTGATAATCCATGCTTCATTTTCAAAATCTATTCCGAAGTAGGATTTTTACTTATGAGGGGCCTTCAAAAAGTTCATGTAAAATGTATATTATGAAAAAACTGTGCATGGAGGGACCAGCAGTTAGCATAATGGCAATGTCGATGGACTCCCATGTAGTCGACCGCAGTTCGTGTCCCGGACCTGGTGGCTCAAAACTCACGCTGGGCGTGTGTGCATGCGTGCCCAAGATCCCGAGAGGAGAATGGAGGAGAAGGGATTGTGGCGTGACCATACCCCCTGGGGGGTGATTTCTTGCTTTCTGTCTCTCTGTCTCTCTCTCTCTGGCGGGTGCACGCGCCCTATAGCAAAAACCTCTCAAAAAAGAAAAAAAAACTGTGCGTGGATAAACTTGTACCTTAATTCCTTTTTCTGCAGACTTTTTGAAATCCCCTCATACACTAATGTTTCAGACTTCTGAAGCTTACTCCTTAAATAGCAAAGCTCATTTAAAAAAATAACCAAAATCTATCTGAAATATACTAGATAGTTAAAAAAAGACTAATGCTATTTAATTTCCTTTAATCATCTTGAAGACAGCAAACAAGTTTATTCATGTTTGTATTAAACAGCATAAAGCATACATACAAAGCAGTGGTAGTTTGATAAATTACCATATGTGTCAGTTATTATATCACATTCTAATATGTCATGCCCTCAAGGGCAATTCCTATGTGGAAATGATATGCCTTTTGTGTAAAAGGGTCCTGGCTTGCTTTGGTCTCTGGTTTGAGACTGTTTTCCATCTCTTCTCTGATGTCAGCTGTCACTTCTTTTTTCTCTTGATAATATGTGCTGTCAGCTGCTTCATTCAGCTCAGTTAATACTTCTAGGCTTATCTATTTAGGCATCCCCTAGTTGGAATGGTGGGGAAATAGCCTTACAGAGTCTTGGGGTTCTCTGAGTATGAGCTTTAGTGCTTTGATTTTGTGAAGGAATTCTGGCTAATCAGAACTTCTCTTGCTTACTCTCTTAATTTTTATAGACAGTCACAGGTATAGGATAAGTGATCTCTTAAGTAACATATTAGGGACCAGCAGATGGCATAATAGTTCTATCACTGGACTCCCAAGTGGTTGGCTGCGGTTTGAGTCCTGGACCCTGCAGCTTGAAAGTAACACTGGGTGCATGTGCATGCCTATGCAAAATCCTGAGAGGAAAATGGAGAAAAAGAGACTGTGGTGTGACCATCTCCCTGGGGGGGGGGGGGGGGGGCTCTCACTTTTTTTCTTATAACTATACTTCTTACTGAAGACTTAAAGACTTCTAGGACAGGGAACCAGCAGTTAGCATAATGGCTATGTCGCTGGATTCCCATGTAGTCGACCACGGTTCGCGTCCCGGACCCGGTGGCTTAGAACTCACACCGGGTGCGTGTGCGTGCGTGCCCAAGATCCCGAGAGGAGAATGGAGGAGAAGGGATTGTGACGTGACCATCCCCTCTGGGGGGTGATTTCTCGCTTTCTGTCTCCATGTCTCTCTCTGTCTGTCTGGCGAGCACACGCGCCCTATAGCGTAAACCTCTCAAAAAAAAAAAAAAAAGACTTCTAGGACAATTTACATAAAAGCCACAGTTGCATTTAATAACTTAAATGAGAGACTGTTTGGGAGAAAACCTAATTTTGGGAGTTAGATGGTCTGAGGATGATTTAACTAGATTTTTTTTTTTTAACCAAACCTCATTTGTAGTTTAGAGATTAAGTGATAGAAGGAAATGTTTATTGTCATATGGATGCATTCTTATTATTCATATTACAAACAGAGTTTTAGTATGTATTCAGTGTCTCCCTAAATTTAGAGCTAGGAAAAATTTTGTGTTAGGTAAAGTCTTACAGTAGATATGTACGTATTTTGGACTCAGAATGTCCCTCTGGTATTTTCATTTGCATCATCGCTAACCATTAGTATTAAGTAATTCCTGTACTGAAGAGCAATGGGCTCCTATAATAAGAAAATCAAGATGGGTCCATATTTAACCTATAGCTCTGTTTTCTCTTTTTTGATAGAGGGTCCATTTGAACATATAGAGAAGTGCTCATTAGGGTCCATGATTTATAGAAAGTATTTTAATGAATCTTTATGATTTCAAAGTGTGATTTGTGAGGTTGCCAGCTACTGACCAGTTACGCCTAGAAAGTTCTGTACTTCCTTACTTGTACCTTTACAGCATTATATTGGGATGTTATAGCTAACATAAATCTATGTAGAGGAGAAGACGACTAGTTTTTAGCCTATAATAAAAAGTTAATTATGGGGCTGGCAGATAGAGTCGTGGTTAAGCCACTGGACTCCCACGTGGGCAATAGTGGTTCGAGTGCTAGACCTGTTGGCTTGCTTTCCCACTTTTCTCTCTCTTTGTGTCTCTTTTTGGTTAAATCTAACAATAAAGAATAATAACAAATAAAATTAAATAAATAACTCTTTCTTAAAAAAATGTTTAATTATTATTTAGTGAAGGAATCAATTGCTGCAGAATTGAAAGACTGCCTCTCAAGAAACAGGAGGAAAGAGGGAGAGACGGTGGGCACATGCACTATAGCACAGGCTTTTAAACAACAACATATGTGATTCTGCTTTTACTGTAATTGTCACTTTTTTTGCTAAAGTGTGTTTATTCATACTGGAGATCTTACAGGTCTGAATATAATTCTAAAACTAAATTATTTGTATTGTGAAACCAGAAATTTTATCACATGGTAAATTGTAGGCTTGTTTTCTTACATATATCACAGAATAGTATTTTGATCTAGTTGTTATTTTTGTGGTATTTTTCTAAGGAATTAATGAGCATATGATAGAAATAGTGACTTCTTGGAGACTATATTTAATTATATTTTTCATTAACTCATAATTATTGTATCTTTTAGAGTATTAAATAAAATACAGATATGAATCATGAAAGAAAAAGTATAATACATGAAATTATTTATTATTCACAAATACAGTATTAATTGATAGTATGTGTCTTTCTCCCTTCTGTTTTCCATTTCTGGGTTCAATAGGTATTTTTCTACGTTGGAACAGATCCTCTAAGTATTTGGATGAAGCCTATGAAGAAATGGTTAACATCATTGAGTATAACAAGGAATTACAAGCAAAAGTCAATATCCTTAGGAGGCAGTTGGCAGAACTGGAAACAGAGGATGGGATGCAGGAAAGTCCCTGAAAAATATCCCTGCTCCTTTCCAAGGACCTTCCAGCACTTGTGTCTCCCCCTCTTCCCTCCCCCACCCCCCACACCCCCAACAGTCTCCTTTTGCCCTGAAGTTCACTTTTACACAATAGCCTTTAACTTGGGCTTTAGAAGTGGGGTAATGGATTTATCCATACTCTATGAATGAAATTTACTGTACTATTCATGTTTTGTGTGACCTGTTAGGCCCCCTTTGCTTTGGGAGCAAGAAAGGAGGTGCTAGTCATTTTATTTTATGTTAAATAGGTGACCTATTGAATGCCATTTGTGTTATACTCCAGTTTCATTGAAAGCTTTTCTCTGTGTCCACTTTCCAAACAATGCTCCAGACTGGTCAAGGATACACTCAATCCTTATTCCTTAATTCATTAGGGAATGTTTGGTGGTTTAAAAAAAGAGTCAGGCTTTTAAGCACTCTGAGTTTAGAGATATTTTTCAAACTGAAATGGTTGATAAACTAAAAGTTTTATGTTTACCATGCCATTTCCATTATCTTTGCTATATAAAATAGCCATTTTCTTTAAAATAGTAATTTCTCATTCTGATTTATCAAGAAAATCTGAATACTTATTCAAGGTAAATTATTTCTACAAGGGCAAAAGGTGTAATCCTCTGATATATACACTAACAAGAGTTAAATGTATTTTAATAATAGACACTAAAAGTATGTGTAACATAGAATTAAAGTAGGAATTTGTTACTGAGTGAGAATTATTATTGTTGAATTGGTTTTTCAGATTTTTGATTATCCATTAAAATGTGTGTCAAATGCTGAATATAGAATTAAACCTTCACTTAGAATAGAGTTAATTTGTTATAATGAAGCTATCTATATGGTTTCCTTAAACCAGAGATGCACTGCCCTTGTCCAAAGTTCTTATTGCACTGGTTTCTATATGTATGTAGGTATTTTATTGTGTTTTTAAGTATTCTAAAAGTTTACTAAGGTTAAATTTTCATGTTGGCTTGAGCCATTTGCAAATTTATCTTGACTCTGCTGGTTTGTCCATTATGTGTTAGGCAAATACACTTTTAAGTGGAAGGGAAAGCGTAGGAATGTGATGTGACTCTGTTTTAAACATCAGAAATAGGTTTGAAATGTGTGTCAGTGTTACAGAAACGGTGATGGCTAGATTCATGTTCTGCTGGCTCTGTTTATGCCTGCAACTCTGAATGATTGTGGTTTACTACCTTCTCTGTACATTTCTGTTTTGTAGCACTGCTCATTTTTAAAAATATGATCAATTCTTGTTCTCTTTAAAGGGTGTGACAGAATAATCTTTAATGCCATTTCAGTACCATCTGTATATAACCATTTCAGGATAGAACATGTATAGAATGCTGCTGTAGAGCTGTGTATTAAGCTAAAAATATAATTTTAAAAAATCAGCTTGAGCAAAATCTAAGGCCACATGCAGAAGCCTTAGAAAATGGCAAATATCTGGAGCCAGCAGATGGTATAGTGAGTAAGGGTCTGTACTCCTACATGGCTGACCATAGTTTGAGTCCCGGATCTGGCGGCTTGAAACTCATGCCAGATGCATGTGTGTGCCTGCCCAAAATCCCGAGAGGAAAATGGAAAAGAAGGGATTGCAGCATGGCCATCCCCTCTGGAATGATTTCTCACTTCCTGCCTCTCTGGCGAGTGCATACCCTCATAACAAAAATTGCTAAAAATTTTTAAAAAATAAAGAAAGAACATGGCAAATATTTTCCATCTCAGTTACCCAAGCTTCACTTCTTTTTTTCCCCCCTGCTTCCTCAGCATGCAGAAACCTAGAGAGCAATCCAGACACTTTCGGTAAATTTGCTCACTTTCCTCTCTAAGTTCAGTTATGAATCTTGGGGGCATTAGCACATTAGCATTTACCAGAATGCTAAGGCAAGAAGAGGAGGAGATACCTTCTCTTGTTACAGGTATCTCCGTGTTGTGGGGAATGGCTATCTTAGTTTTGTGAAAGAAGAAACAGCCTATCTTTGTCATGGCCCTTCAGAGTTACTTGCTGGCATCTGTTCCTACAGCTGCCCTTTTTGTTTTTTCCTATTTTTGTCTCAAGATTACATGATGAAGGAGCCTTTTTCTTCTCAATTAATGGACCCATAAGGAAAACCATTTAGAGTGTTTACTTTTTTTTAAAGTATTCTTTAAAAGTGACTTCTGAACTAGCAGGTAGTATGGTGATTAGGGTGTTGGATCCCACATAACTAATTTCACGATTTGAATCCCAGGGCCAACAGCTTAAAAAACATGCCAGGTACATGTGTGTGTGTGTGTGCATGCCCAGAATCCCAAGAAGATATGGGATTATGGTGTGGCCAGCCCGCCGGGGGGTGATTTCTCTTGCTTGCTCCCTGTCTTTCTGGAAAGTGTGTGCACGCTATAGCAAAATTTAAAAAAAAAAAAAAAAAAGGACTGCTACTGCTAATATTCATTAGCCATAGGGCTCTCTTGGATGGAAGCTTTGGAGGGAGTTTGGGAGTTGTTATTAGGCTTTGTCATAGGGATATTTACGCCATCCATTTATACCTGTCTTCCTGATCAATATTTCATGAGCAAGCCAGAGTATGGTAATAGGGAAGTATTCCAGTTTCTTTTCCTTCCTCTAACTGAGACACCATCTTCCCTGTTTTGACAAGTTTGCATTTTAGTATTGATTTATAATTAAGGATTATCCAAACCTCAGATTTGATTACAAGTTGAAAAAACAAACTTTGATATCATTGCACTTTCAGAAGGGTCATTTAATAATGCAAATATTAAGGTTTACCCAAACTTGGGAACTCTGTCCAAAACAAGTGCATTATGAATATAATTTTAAGAGAGTTTCTAGTAATACTGTTAAATGACCTCTTTCTTAGATAAGAAGAATAAGTAAAATGACACACTCATGAGAAGGTATTAAACACTAAGTTTAGAGAGTTGCCTTTGATAAATGTGACTTTTAAAACTGTAATGAAGAAGATGGTGGCAGAATTAGTGAGAAAGCAAATTGACCTGTAGGAGCCACCAATTACCAAGAGAAATTCAAGTATACTAGTCACCTTCTATATAATAAATATTTGTATTGAATGCTACTTACATTTGGGTGATGGTTCATAAACTAGTACTCATAAATATTTTAATACAGAGAACCACTGTAGTCTTCTATAATCAATATAAAGTCCATAGATTTAAATTAATAATTTTTGAAAGTCAGAAGATGGAGTTGGTTAGGTAAGAAACCCGAAACTGGGACCAGTGAATGGTGTAACAGTTACGTCACTGGACTTCCACATAATAGACTGTGGCTCAAGTCCCAGACTTGGCAGCTTAAAACTCATGCTGGGGGCCTGTGCATGCATGCCCAAAATCTCTAGAGGAGAAGGGATTGCAGCATGGCCACCCCTGTGGGGGGCGATTTCTGGCTTTCTATCTCTCTGTCTCTCTGGCAAGCACACACGCCCTGTAGCAAAAAATGTAAGGGGAAAAAAAAAAAAAAGAAACAAACTCAAAACTTTTGGTGGCAAGACTTTTTCATGATTGGTTAAAATTGTTTATTTTAATTGTTTTAAGTGGGAAGAAAACAAGTAGAAATAGTAAAATCCAATAGGTTTGAAACAACCTAGCAATGTATTTTATTTCTAAGACAAATTAGGCTGTCAAAACCTAAAGTTATTTTGAGAAATCTTGTGAAGACCATATTAAATGTTATTTAAAATCCCATATGGAGAGCCATAAAACTTGTCTGTGAACTTTAAAACCTGATTTATAGGTGGAATCTCATTGCTTTCATTTTATAGGTGAAACTTAGTGAGATTTTAGTCTTGACTCAGTCATATCTGGTTCATGTTAATAAAAAGCCAATATTCAAGGAAAATATTTGACCATAGTTTAAACTCTTCAAGTGAAAAATAGGAATAGTATTTTGTTGTGTTTTGAAAAATCTGTTTAGAGATAGAACTTGTAGGGTGCTGGCAAGTGGTGTGGTGGATAAAGGCACTGGATTCCTACATGGCCAACCTCGGTTAGAGTCCTGGACTTGGTGGCTTGCTTTCTCACTTTCCCTTTCTCTCTCTGGTCAAATTTAAAAAAATAATAATAACAAATTAAATTAAATAAATAGATAATTATTTTTTAAAAAAGTTATAACTTGTAGTTGGGCCAGCTTTTGGGGTGGTGGTTAAGGCAGCTGGATCCAGCATGGCCAACTGTGTAGTTTAAGACACAGACCCTGTGGCTAGAGAAATACATTGGGCATGTGTATATATGTGCCCAAAATCCTAGGAAGAGAAGAGGAGAAGGAATAGTGGTGTGGCCATCCCCTTAGAGGTTGATTTCTCTCTCTCCTCACGATGAGTACACACACTCTATTGCAAACCAAAAATATAATTATTACATATAATTTATATGTATGTATATATATGTACTATATATATATACATATATATGTATTTCTTTTCTTTATATATATATATAAAAGTTCTTTTTTTGGAGAGGTTTTTCACTATAGGGAGCATGCACTCACCAGACAGACAGAGAGAGACAGAGAGACAGAAAGCGAGAAATCACCCCCCCAGGGGGGATGGCCACGCCGCAATCCCTTCTCCTACATTCTCCTCTCGGGATCTTGAGCATGCACGCACACACGCCCGGCGTGAGTTTTAAGCCACGGGGTCCAGGACACGAACCGTGGTCGATTACATGGGAGTCCAGCCACATAGCCATTACACTAACTGCTGGTCCCAATATATATAAAGTTCTTATTCTTCAACATAGGTCAGGTATTTTTTTCCTCACCAGAGCTAGTATCCTAAGTTATAACTCATCTGCTTTAGGGAATAGCTGTTTTGTCAGTCTTCAATACATTGTTTACTTATTAGCAGACTTTAACCTGAGGCAAAGGTTTGGGTTGCCCACTTCCAGAGTTAATGAATGAAAACTCTATGTGGGTATTAGTAGTACTCTTTATCAGAAAGGAATTTCCTGGACAAGAAAATTGGGTAGAGTAGTTGATTCCCTATTCAGAAAGCTTTGAAATTTACTAGAGGATGAAGTCATTCAGAACATGTGATACAGGCTTATGCTATACCACAAGACAACCTCGATTGATGAGTTCTTACTTTTCAACATAGGCCAGATATTTTTTTTTCCCTCTCAGAGCTAGTATCCTAAGTTATCACCAAAGAGTATTTTTATGTTATCCACCATCATAACAAAAAAACTTCGAAGATGATTTCTTTATATGTTTATTCTCAGATTATATAAAATGCTAAATTTCTTACAGTATCAGTTTTCAATCTACTGTTTATAGAATCTTTTTTCTTTGAGCTAGTAGTCCTAGAAGAAACCTTCTAAAATTCTAGAACTAGGTTTTTAAAAATCTGAAGTTATTACCTAAATTCCCTTTTATTATAAGAAACCTAAGGTCCTATCTCTTGAACTACACTGTGAAATAGTAGTTTGTGCTCAGTGTCATGGAAGATAATGGGGAACTCACAGTGGACACTACATAATCCTGAAAAATAATTTATGATGAGAAGCCATTTTGTTTAACCATCTGCAGGTCTGAGGATTACCTATTTGTAATAACATTGAGTTATGCAATACTGCCCATGTCTATCTGTATAAGACATTTGCATCACTTTTAAAATGCATGTATTTCTGGGGAGGTGAATTATTTATCCTACATAAATACATCTTGAATCCCATTGCTTAGAATCCTTGTAAATCTAGGGACCAGCAGATGACATAATGGTTGTGTCACTGGACTCCCATGTAGTTGACCATGGTTCAAGTCCCAGACCCAACGGCTTAAAACTCATGCTGAGAACATGTGCATATGTGTATGCCCAGAATCCCTAGAGAAGAATGGAGGAGAAGGAATTGCGGCATAGCAGTCTCCTGGGGGGCAGGGGTGATTTCTTGCTTTCTGTCTCTGTCTCTCCAGCGAGCGCACGTACATTATAGCAAAAAATCTCTTAAGAAAAAAAGAGAACCCTTTTAAATCTATTATCTACACTAAAAATGTTGTGCTTGTACAACATAGTTTATTTTTTTAAATATATTCCTTCAATAGCTGAGTATTTGGATTGTACTCTTGCTATTTTTGAATGTGACTCTTGGATTTAAGCGCACTGTTATTCATGTCTTACACAATAAAATTGCACTGTACAGCAAATGTGTCTGTAACATATGCTTTGCTAAAACCTCGGAGTGCTGTAAGTACAGGGTTCTGTACGATGAACCTCAGTATAAGAGTCTTAGAGAAAAACTTTGAACTTTCATAAGTATGTGTAACATTTTAATATTATTTGTAATGTTCACTAAATGATAAGCTCACTTATGTCCTGTAACTGGAATCATTTACCTGTAGTTGTTTGGTTTGTCAAGCTTGGTTTAATGAATCAAGAAACGGTCTTGTGGAACGCGGTACCGTCCTTAGTGTGGTATTTGTGTGTAGTGATCTCCTGCCTCAGAGGACTGTTGCACAGATATTAGTGTTAAATTTCTATAAACTGATAATAAAGTTTGAGTA